GACAAAGCTTCTATACCAGTTAGATAATTAATTTCAAAAGTAGCATATGAACGTCAGCAAGGTAGCAAAAGCTCCCTTCCATATATACAATGACACAGACGCACAAGAACCCAGAAGCTGCAATGAATCCACTAAAAGATGCTGAGGCTACTCATGTCATCCAGCAAAACACACAACTGGTCAACCTATATGCACACGAGGCTTCTAAATCAATCATCTAAGAAAGTATTTTCTCATTTCTTTGCACCAGCTCTTATCTGCTTTATCTTTTATTATAAATGAGAGACTACAACAGCACTTCTATAGAACAGAAGAGCAGTTGAACTATGATATACTTTTCCTTCTTTCTTTTAAATGTTGAATCAAATATGCCTGGGTCCAGAATGGCTTTGACCTGAAAAGCACAGGTGAAGATCTTTACCATTACACAGCATTACCTTGTCCAGTGCTTCAGTATTGTCTCCAGCCTGTGAAGCTCCTTGGTGACTTTGCTGGTGTTACTTAACCAGCGTTCTCCTAGTTGGTTCAGTTGACCTTCGAGTTCTGAGCAGCTAACAGAAAAAAGGAGCCTCTTCCCATCATCTAGCACTTGGTATAATTTAGGTTGGTATTCAGTCAGGTTAGATCTCAGATGCTGTAATGACAGAGGAGAAGGTTAGATAACTGCTACCACACTTTCTCAACAGTTAATTTCCTTTTACTGCAATTTGTTGCACATCCAATGTCATCACAAAACATCAATTTTTATTTCTGCTCCAGCTCTAAGAACTCTCCAAGAACCATCATGAAGGTAATCCGCTCAAAAGCTGAACATGTTGCCACAAACCAAATCATATCAGTATGTCTATTGGTTCCTCCTTATGATGAACTTCTCCTACTCCTTCGTCTAACATCTCACTCTTTTACCAATCTACCCTTCTTCTCTTCATGGCAACAAAACAGAAGATCATCCCATCCATCCAAACCCCTGAACACACAGACCAATTTTTATTGCACAAGAAAGCAAAAAAGGTAATGAAAAAGGAAAGGCTGTTAATACTATTACCCAGAATGAACCTGGAACTGAGACGGATTTAATTTAAATGGTGATTTGTGGATGCGTAAAAGAAATTGTACATGTGAGCAAATATACTGGCTAAATTCCACCATCATTACACAAATACTATGGATTTTAGAAACAGCTGTACATTGGTATAAGTTTGAGTGTGAAATGTACATGCATTCCCATTTTTCAGCTCTGTTGAAAGTAATCTGAATATAACAGGTGCAAAACTACCAATCTTATAGCGAGCACATGACCTTTCTATCACTCTTATTTCCTCTTTCACAAAAATAGAGCTTATAATAGATTTGAAAAAAATTATCTTTATGTGTAAGTCTGTATTTACACATAACATATATAAAAAAAGAAAATTTCTAGATAGTGGCTTATTCTAAGATAATCGTAAATTTATTATGATGGATTTTAAAGCTAAATGTGGCCAATTAATAAAATCTATGATATAATGGAATACAAGAATCTGGATTTGAAAAACCTAGTTCATGTAACTGAAAAGAAAAACAAAAGAAGAAAAATAATTTAGAGTTAGAACCAACACAAAATTATGCCTAGCATCAAACAAACAACCCCCCCACACACAATAGATTGCTTGTTTTCCTCATAATATCGGAAAATCAGAAAGCTGTCTGGTAAAGCAACTAAAAAGATAACACAAAGTCAATTTTCAAAAAAAATTGACAGACATTTTTCTGTAAAACAAAAAAGAGAATATAAAACGCCCAACTAAAATGTCTAGTATAAGGAGACAAAAACAAAACATCAGACCAAAGAAACAGGATGTGGTAGAAAGCCAGTACTTAAACTACTTGCTGCATCTGGGGAGGAAGGCAATTTGAGGAACCACAGGCTGTTCAGTCTCACCTTGCTCTCTGGAAAGATTATGGAGTACATCCTCCTGAATTCCATTTTCAATGACAAAAAGGACCAAGAGGCAACCAGGAATATTCAACTTAAATTCACTACCAGCCTTCTATGACAAAATTACTGTCTCTGTGGAACAGACTGACTTCAGCATGACCTTTGATACCACCTCTCCTCTAGCAGCAGAGAGAGTTCATGGCTGGATAAATGCAGTGTTGGTAGGCTGAAAATGAGCTGCATTACCAGTATCAGTGCTAGTGATCAAAGGCTTGATGCCTGGCTGGCAGGTTGCACTGGGCAGAGTGCTCCAGAGATTATTGATATTTTATCCCAAATATCTTCAACATATTAATGGCATGGATCATGGCAGCCAGCATTCCCTCAGTAAATTTCTGGATGACACTAATCCACTGGATTAGGGAGAGCAGTTGGGACAAAAAAAAGGCAGACTAATTCCAGAGACTCTACTAAACTAAAGGCTGGAGACAGCAGAAACCTTGGAAGTCTGAAGAAATGCAACTTCTGCACCTTGGGCTGACTAGCTGTGTTTCTCAGTACAGCTTAGGAAGGAAATTAGTAGTGTATTTAACCTGGAGTTCATAAGGCAAGCCACAGCTCTATATTAGGCCTATATTAGGGCTGTGAACAACCAGATGAAGTTATTTTATTATCGTCGTCTAGATGGTGCTGATGAGGCCACACCTACTCCATCTGATTGTGCTCTGACCCATCTCTCACTGAGTTGAGGAAGAAGGAAATGGTCAGGGTCTGGTGTAGAACTATTAAGTTATTTAGGGACCTAGAGCACATGTCCTTCACAAAGAAGATGTGGGAAATGTGCTTGCTTTAGATTGATAAGCAGGAGGCTAAGGGCCAGTCTAACAAAGATCTGCAACTGTTTGAGGCAGAATTAAAAAGATGATAGAGGTAAATGATTCTCAGTAGTGCCACACAGTATAAAAATGACAACGGTGACAAGCTGAAAGTTAATGTTACTGACTGGGCATTACATAAAACATTTTATAGCAGATGGTGGTGCAGGACTGCAACTGGTCCTCTGGTCAGCTGTGGGACATCCATCTTTTGAGGTTTCCAAAGCTGTTGCTGATCTAGCCCATGGCAACTGTAATGCTTCAAGTGGGAGGCTGGACTTGATGACTGTCAGAGATCCCTTTAACCCCTCTTTTCTACAGAGAATATCTACAAAGCACCAACCTGAAAAAGTGTAATCCTGTCTGTAAGCCTGTCTTCTGTCTCTTCTACCAAACCAACAGTGGGGATGTTTCCTTCAACAGACTCCAGCTGTCTGGTGAGTTCCTGGTAATCTTCATCCAGATGCATCCAGGTCTACAAGCACAAATTATCCATGTATATGGTAAATCTGGGTATCTATGGTTGTGAAAGTACAGAAATAACAGTACAAATGTCCAGTGAACCTGTAAAAAGACACCATCCCTGTGCCAAGCTCAACTTTTGGTAAGAACAAATGGATAAAACTATCATGCTCTCCTTAACCAGCTAAAGCCAAGCAGCTCTTTAGACTTAGAGGAACACAACTTGTCCTCCCTGAAGGTCACAACAATTAAATAGAAAAGACTGTAGTCTATCAGTGCTTTCTGTGTATGACAAAATGGACTGACGCTCATCAGTTCTGTCCAAGCACAGGGAATCAGCATTATAGAATGTCCTGGTGGTTGATCACAATGAAGTATAGAAAAGGCCATATAAATTCTCACCTCTAGAACGTATTCCAGCTCCACACCTCGTTTATGAGCCAGCTTTAATACAGCCGAAGCTCGTGTCATTATCTCTGAATGAGACTGAGTTTCCTTCAAGAGGGCAAGGCTACTCATCTTTCTAAAAAGTGTTTCTGTCAGGATCATGTGAGACTCCAACCCTTGAAAATATTCCTAAAAAATTTGGATGTGAGGGAGAGGGAGAACAGAGAAGAGAAAGTGCAATTGTTACTCAATTAATTACCACTAAAAGAACACTTAAAGATATAAGCAGTACAATCATCTATATAGAATTAGATAAACTTTTCACTTCACAGCATTTCATGAAACCCAACATAATTTAAAGAGGACAATAGTCTATTCAAAGAAAGAAGTCAGTCATTCTTTCCACACAAATTCCATCCTGACCCTCATTCCATAAAGAAAAACAGCTTAAATCAAAGAACCCCAAAAATTCCTGCCTAATGTAAATGTGGAAAATACTTGTCCTATTTGTGCATGCTATTACCAAATGTAAATTTCTGTTGAAAATAAATGGAGTGGTGGATGAAATTGCTATGTAGCACGACAGGACAATACTAGGAACTTTTTATTAGAATAATGAAGAAATCTGGGTTCACCTTCAACAAAGCATTTGAAACTCAGTGTGTCAGAACAGTTCATTGACTCCAATTTAAAATACAGTCAGTCCCACTGTTCTGAAAAGCTCCTGTATCTTTACAGGAACAGGTTAGCAATTTGCTCTTTTAAGTGTCCTGGTTTTGGCTGGGATAGAGTTCATTTTCTTCTCAGTAGATGGTAGAGCACTGTGTTTTGGCTTTACTATGGGAATAATGTGGGTGACACACTGATCTTTTGTTTGTTGCTGAGTAGTGTTTATCCCAAGCCAAGGACTTTTCAGTTTCCCTTGCTCTGCCAGTGAGGAGGTGGGTGAGGAGCCTGGCAGGACCATGGTCAAGACAGCTGACCTGAACAGGCCAAAGGCATATTCCATACAACAGAACATCATGTTCAGTATACAAACTGGGGGAGATGTCTGGAAGCTGCTGATTTCTTCCTGGGGACAGGTTGGCTATTGGTCAGGAGGTGGTGAACAACTGTATTGTACATGATTTATTTATTTCTCTTGTGTTTATTTCTCTCTCTCCTTCCCATTACAGTTATAGTTACTGTTTCAATTATTTTTCTTATTAGTGCTGTTAGTATTAGGATTCATCTCTCAACCTACAAGGCTTACCTTTTCTTTCTGATTCTCCTTCTCCCCAAGGAAGGAACATATGAGGAAGCAGCTGTGTGGTTCTTAGTTTCCCACTGGGGCTAAACCATGACAACAAGCTTACAGTCATTCCTAGTCCTGAAATATTTCCCAGTTTTTTACCTTATGTTTTTCAAGCAGTGACTGAACCTCTTCTTTGGAAGAAACAATCATTTTCTGGTCACCAGCCATTTTTTCTTGGCCTGTTTCTACCAGATCAGCCAGGTCCTGCAAAGCCCGCTCATACTGCCTCTTAAGAGCCATATTCTGATTCAGATCACTCCGCCTGGATCCAATGATCATCAGCAGCTCATCATACTTATCCTGGGTGGGGACAAAGGGAAGCAGTGCTGATTTTTATTTCACACCTTACATGTCTTCCTAGAAGCAACCTTACTGTCCCTGTACTCTCTGTGAATACTACTTATTCACTTATTTCTAGCTCACTTATTTCTAGCTCAAAACCAGTTTCCAGATATACTGACTTCATTGATAAATTAACTCACCATTTAAAGACAGAAAAATAAGCAAGATCTCTTTAAAGAACATGTATTTGGGGAAAAAAATAGCAGAATCCCAAAGGCTTAATTTAAGTAGCAAAGATTTGGCTTAATGCATCAAAAAAGAGTGACTACAATGCAATGCAGATGCTGTTTACATTTTACTTTTTATAATGCAGAGGATTACATGGATTCCATCATGGATACAGACCACAGGTATCTCAAAGCCAGGTTTATTTCCTTCTCCTTCCTCAGAATCTTAATAGTAGCAAGTAAGAACCATACAACTTACTGTAAAAATCAAAACAAGTCCCTACTTTTGATCTATACAAGATATTCCAACAACTAAAATACCTCTAGGATCATTCAGCTGAGTCTCCTAGCCTTAAACAGAAAATTGTGAGAAGCAGAACTGTCAGAATAAGCCAAAAGGTGGCTTTTCTAAAAACTGAAATGGAGAGGGGCCCATAATGGCACATAAACTGAGTGAAAAAAAACCCACAAAAAAACCAGCAAACAAACCAGGAGGAGGCACTAAGACCAAAAGGATAAAGAACTGGGCAAAAGACACATTTCTTAGTGATTAATTTCTTAGTCATTCATTTTTAATTGCTATCACTCTCTTGTCGGCTTAGTAAATTTAATCTCCACTTTCAGCTGTTTTATTTGCTTCTAATTTATTGTTATGTCACTGTAAACAGTAAAATTAAGTTATAAACCTTCCTTCTCCTTCATATTTCTTCAAGCATTCCCCTGCATCAGCCAAACGGCTCAAAAAGGACTTTCAACAGGTTTACAGAAGTTGTGGATCAATTGCCCCCATGTATTGAGAGGTGTTCCAGCAAAAGCAGAACATTTCCAGTTTCAGGTCGCACTTTGCTCTCCATCTTCCTTTACCCCCCTCCTTGTTTGAATGAGAGATGTGATACAGTACTTAATTACAACCAGAGAGAAGATAATCTTTTACCTGAAATGCCTTTAAATCCCTTTTCCTAAACTGCATTATGAAGAATAAAAAGAAGCATTTCTTTGATATCACAGGTGAGAAAGGTGATAGGATGGACAGGATAGAACTAATGAACTATACCTGGATCTTAGACAACTCTTGTATAGAAGGTTGGTCAATTTGTAGCTTGTCTATACGCTTCTTTAAATCACTGATTCCAGCATCTAGTTCCTTTAAGCCTTCTTCTGCATGCAGTATGACCTGTACATGAAAATTACATTGCTTAGTTTTAAGTTTCAGTAACAGTATTGTAGCTGACTTATGATCATATTCTTTTCCACTTGCAGTGCTAATCACACCTTCAATGTGGTGAAATTTTAAAGATGCTATGAAGGAAACATATTAATTAAAAGTTGGGAGAGCCCAGTCTTTTTCTTAAAGTTATATAAGCATATCATTATTACTTTTTAATAACAAGCAGCTTTAGTATAATAAAAATAGATATATAAAATATTATGCTTAGTATGAATTTCCATGCTTTTAACTATATAGTAGAGGCCCAAAATAATTTTTCTTTTAATGTAACAATGTAATTTAAAGAATTTTTTTTTTAATAGTCATTCCTGTCATCTCTGAGCACCAAGCAAACAACCATCACAGCAGAACCCATGTATGAACGCAAAGAGCTGTGAGCAGTTCCCTTTCAAGACTGGGGTGGGGCCAAAATTACTGTCAAGGGAAAAGACTTGTACCTCTCCTTTTGCACTGGGAAAAATACAGCTTAAGAACACAGACTGGTATTTGCAAGTGTCTGAAGGTGATGAGTTTTTCCAATGGAAGCTACAAGCTTCCCTAGGTCTCTGCTGAAGTAACACACACAGATTACAACAAATTTAAAAGCATGAGGTAGGTTCCTGTACTTAAAGTCCTTTGTTGAGGCCCTTTCTTGGAAGCTTCCTATCCAAACATTTTAAAACTATGTATGTGAAGTAGAACTCCTCCCTTTCAGCAGCAAGGAGTTTGCATGATAAAGTCACTAAACTTCCACTTTATGCAACTAATGTCACCTGGCTGATTAAGGCCTTTATTTCTACTTTCCTAATCACATATTGAACAAGCAGTAATGCTTTTAAATTTCAATGTTTTATCAACCAAGGGAGATTTTCTGAAACAAATAATTTGACCTGTTTTTGTTACCACATTGTTTTCCTAGCTGGTAGTTTAATTAATCAAACTGGAAATAAATTTTTGCCAATGTTTGGCATCACAAAAGATAGAAAAGAAAAACACAGTGTGACCTCTCCTTCAAAATTTGAATGTCAGGTATATAAAGTCCAGTATTTCTGTTTAGCTGAAGGGTAAGTTTCTTCCATTCAGTTGTCTGCTGGCACCAGACATTGCTAACAAGAAAGTTCTATAAAAAGTTGTCTTTATAATACTTCATTCATTTTTCTCACTGGAAAAACAGAAACAAGAAAATGGGATATATTTTTTCATATAAATAATTAATTACTCATCAGGCCATTCCTGATAAAGAAATAATAATTACTGCTTTACATTAAAAAGAGTAACATTAAAGCCATCACTGTAAACCAGTGAGCAGGAAAGTGCCTTTGGTTCTTAAGAAAGTTTAACAGTCAAACAATTTAGCGAAACTCTGGATTTTTTTTTCTTTATTGAAATTTTCTTTTTTCCAAATACTGCACAGTATAAACATAACTAGGTACTAGGACAGCTGGGAAGATGAGAAAGACACTTTTTCTAGGGGTTTTTTGTTGTTGTGACTTTCTGTTGTTTTTAGTTATGTGTAGTACGCTCTTGGACATCCTCATTTTCCTATACTTCATGTGAACATGTAGGTTCTCCCATTTAAAGTAACTGTTCTCTAGAATCCAATTATACTTTGGATAAAAACTTTACCTCTTCCCCTCTCCCCAAGTGACAGACACGTGGTAGTACCTGCATTTGTTCTGTTTCTGGTCTGTCAGCTGCCTCTGATAATTTCTGTAGAACTAAGTATTTATTATCAGCCACCGATGTAAACATGAGCTTCAGATCATTCTGCAGGAGACAAAACCAACAAATTATAGCCACAATTATACAGTACAAAACAACTGAAAAATACTCCATGTTTCAGAAAGTTTAAAGCATTAAATATTACATGGCAGCACTGCAGCATAAAAAGTAGTCAAAAAGCACCAAAACTAGCCAATGAAAAACATTTGACATTGCTGAAAATCCAGCTATGGAAACAAAGAGCTAAAGCAACTCCCATCTAAAACATATCCAGTGAATGCACTTCTGCTTTTGCTTTCTAATTAAATAATTAACTAACAAGGTCATTACCTCCATGTAACAAAAACATTCTTGTGCAGTTTATTCTAACACATATGATTGTAAAAAAGCTTGATTTTACTTTTTAAGGCAAGTTGTTTTAATTACAAACTTGAGCAAATATAATACATAAGTAAACAAGGCCTCCACACATTACAGGGCTAACCACAAGCTAAAACTTTTAGAGTATTTTATCAGAACAAACACATAAATATTACTTAACAATTTTGCTGAAATACCATCAATTATTTTTTTCTTGCACTCATCTCAACAGAAAATTAACAGCACATTTTTATGAGACTTTCAGCATTACATAAGAGGTGCATGAATGACTTAGTATTTATTTTTACATTCAGTAATTATTTTAGATACTGAAAATCTCTAAGAATAATTAGAATTAATTCTAATCAACCTTGCTGTTATCAGAAAAGGGAGATCTTTCATTGAAAAATAGGAGAGGAAAGATTATGGAGTTTGAAAGAAAATCTAGTAGTAATAATCTATGAAAAAATGACCCTAAATCTAAAGACAGAAGAAATATTTTTTTTTAAAATTTATGGATTTTTTAATTACAAATAAACCATACTGAAGGGCTTAATATATTAATGATAACAACAACAACAACAATAATAATAATAATAATAGCCGATTATTACTAAAAGATAAAGACCAAGAAAGATCTGAAAGCATTTCTGAATTCTGAAAAGTTTTCTGAAAAAGCACATTTCTCTGTTTATCAGCATTTTTTCATACTTGCACAACACAGTCTTCCTTTTATGTAATGCCAGCAGGGTGAGACAGCAGGGAGAGATTATCACTTTACAGGAATTGCATGAGTTGTCGCAGCCTTCTAGCAGAGAGTTTAAATTTTGAGTAATTATTAGGGTATCAAATTTTCCACAGACTGAGAAGTTTGATGTTTCAATAAGAAACCTGTGACAACCTTGTTCTTTTGATTTGGTACCAAAAATTCGCAGCCTTTCTATCCCCATTTGACATACACCTCTGTATTTCATCACCTCATACCTTGAATGTGATAATTTGCTGGAGCCGTCCTTTCATCTGGTGGCATCTCTGATTTACCACTGAATCCAGTAAGGTCAGTCTTCTCAGGAGGCAATCCAAAGTATCTTCTATAATAACCCTCTTATCACTACTATCAGGAAGTATCTGAGCAAACAAATTCTTGTTCTTATCCACTTCTTCTGTTATGTCTTTGATTTCTTTGGCGAGAGACTAATTGTGTAGAAAAACAGAAGTCACAATCAGACATTCTGGAAAGCAGGCAAACATGCCATAATCACTGTCAATTTTGCAATGATGCAGTGAATTTTTTACTTTGTTGGTACACACACACACACTAGAAGAAATGGCAGCTACAGTAATCTCTCATACTAAAAAGAATCCATGCTCCAAGGAAAACAAGTGCTGGAACAAAATGATTTAAAGCCAAAGAAACATCTGGGTCAGATTAAAAGTCATCTAATCCAACCCTCCTGAAGTAAATATAACCTCTTCAATTACATCAGGATGCTCAGAGCCCTCTCAAGCCTGAATCTGAATGCTTCCATGGATAGGACATCCACTACCTCTCTGGGCAACCTGCTCCAGCATTTCCACACGCTCATTTTGAAAAACTTCTCCCTTACATATTTTCTGATTCTATCCTCTTCAGTTGAAAACAGTTCCTTTGTCCTACTGCGCCTCTCTCCCCACCACCACTCAATTCTTTCTGCCTCTCTCACCCCTAATGTTGATTAACTTGTGCTGTTTCTATATCCCAGAGCATTCCTCCCTCTTTTTCACTTAGTTTCAATTTTGACAATGTGGTGTTCACTAATACCTAGAAAGGACGTTACACAGAAGAAAGAGTCTATGCTTTCTGCAACATTCTGTGCACAGTCAACTGGAGAATGCTGCAGTTACATCGAGATTATGCCAGTAACACGCCACTTATCCAGGATTCTAACATTTTTTTCTAAACACCACATAAAATGCACACTTATTGGCAATTAAAAGGAAGTCCCACTCATGGATTCCTTACCTCTTGCTTGCAGAGGTAGGTTTCTGTTTCTTCCTCTGGCAACAGAGCTGTAGCAACAAAGACTTGCTCTTCCACACCATCCAGCCACACAGAGGTGGCAGTGATACCATCATACAGCTTCTGCTCAAGCTGCAGGGTCTCCTCCACCCGTCCAGCCTGGACAAAGAAACCAGAGCAGTCCAGCACAGAAGTACAAGACAGTCTTTCTAACTTCTAGTATTTGGTAAAGGCCTGGATTTCCAGGCCATAGCTGGAGGAGTGTTCACTGTTAATGTGGCTTTCCTGTAGGACAGGTGTAAAGACAATTGAAAATTACCTCAGATGAGACATCTTCAAAGGCCTGATTCAATTCAACCAACACTGGTGACACTAAGGATTTATCTTCATCCTGTGTCTCCTCCTTATACAAAGGCATTCCAGGTATTAGTCTGTTTGGTCTGCTATAAAGCTGCTGAGAGAGGAGCACTCATTAGGATGCCTCGACCATATGTAGGGCACAAAATTCATCTGTACAGACTCCCTAGTGACTGAGGCTATCACCTGCTAATGCTCATAGTCCTCCCACAAATGCTCCCTGTCATGAATATTTTGCATAAATACTGCTCAACAGGAGGTTCACTAGAAATGTAGGATAAACACTTGTAGCCAGAATTAAAAATTACTAGCTTTTACCAAAAATATAATCAATTACTGTTAATTAATACAAGGTATTTAAAACTTTGGAAGCTGATTAACAGAGTGTTATACAGAGAAGAGTGGATTTGGGTCTATTAACAATAAAATGAAGATGTATGGTAATACAGACTTTGGTTTGTCCCCAGTTTAATTGATTTCTTTTAATTCTTTTAATTATTTTAATTCTTTTTAATTGTATTTCTTTCAGTAGAAATACTGTGCCTGAAATTCCTCACCCACTAATATCAAGAACTGAATGTAACCAATAATTCAAACTGAAAGTAACATTTTTCTTTTAAGCTATTGCCAGACTACTGATCAATTCCAGAGGCCTGATTTGTTACAGAATTATCCTGAGTTAAGTAAGTAGATAAACATTTTGTCTGAGCTCTTTCTTCCTTTCTAGTTCATTAATCTGATGGTAGTGCAATTCAAATCACTTTGAACATGAGTAGTGCTGGTGCAAATATTTAACTGTTTTTAAAGTGTCAAATAAATAAAATGTTCCGTATCTCATGCATTAACTAGAGCACCTTAATGGATCTACATATTGTACCTCTCGTAACAACTACTTTCAAAGATAAAATGGAAAGAGAAATTAAAAAAGCTACCAGCTGTTCTTTTTCCAAAGCTTTCTGGAGCAGTCTCTGCTTGGTACTGAATTCCTGGTTTAGGCTTTCCCATTTCCTCTTCATCTGTTCTTCAGATGATGGCTTCTCACCTTCTAAGGTTAATTCCTCAGAGAGTACATCAGGCTTCTCACTGAATCAGAAGATGCATAAATGTTTAACAAATGCAGAAGTTATAACCATTTAAAGTTATAATTTTCCATTAGGAAATTCTACATTTAAGTTAAGTGTTACTTTTCAAAGCTTTGACTTGCTGGTTTTGGTTTTGCTTTTCCAATAACAAGACAAAGGCTGGTTTGAACAGCAAGAAGTTCTTGTCTGATGAAATAAAATGTACTTTCTAGAAGACTATTTAGAGTTGCAAGTATCCAAAAAAAGTAAAAAATCCCCAAACCAGACTGAATATATACTATATTGAAATGTAACCTATAAAGAGGTTAAACCTATAAAGAAGTTAAAGCATGAGTTAAATATTTTATCTGACTCCTTCCTCATGTTCTTTGTCAAAATGGCAGACACAGTTTAATGAAGGATAAGCATATGAGCTTAGCTTTGGTAAACAGTTAACCACATTCAGAACTTTCTGATTGGTGGTAGTTTTTTGTTGGTTTTGGCTGTTGTTTTTTTGTTGCTTTTGTTGTTTTTTTTTTAAATTTCTATAGTACAATATCATTTGACAGAAGGAAGCCTCAAACAGAAGGAGACTGGTTAAGTACTTTCTAGTGTTAGAATCAAGGCTTCAAAAGGAAAAATACTTGCTAATCATAGGAAAAATAAAATTAAGCAATGAGTATCTCATCTGGGAATATCTAGTAACAATGGCAGATGTTAATGTTTGGGGATGATGTGATTCCCACACCAGTGCTGGTCCATAATAAAGCCATTAACAAGACTCTGGCGAGTCTACCAGTCTTTAGTTTAAGTGTGATCCCTGCTAGTAAGAATAAAGAGCATTTCTAAATGCTGAAGGTGATCTATTATCACAAAACAGTTTGTGTATTATCAGACCCCTGAATTATAAACCAAGAATCCAGTTGCCTAGGTGCTGTATAAAAATGATAAAACCATAAAAAAAAAAAATAAATAATTAGAGGACTGTGAGCAGAAGAGGGATGTAAGCATAGGGATGACAAAGCACAGCTACAGAAGTTTACTTTTTAGAACAACACATGAAAGCACACCTTAAAGTCAGGCCTTCAGTAGAGCCTTGCTGCGTTAGGATCTCTCCTCCACGGCACGCTACTGATCGAAGCAGATTCTTCTGCTCTTCTAGCTCTTGTTCCAGCTCCTAACACAGCAAGTTACAAAAAACAGAACCAATCTCAAAATGACTGGTTTTTCCTTGGAAGGGCATATCTACCTTGCTTAACTATCATGCAAAGTTAGCTAAGCTACTTCTGAAATGGCTTGCCTGGACACCAAAAGTGGTCCAAAATCTCCAGCCAGGGACACAGAAAAACTGGGGATATAAACTGCATTACTGAACTAATTACCAAATACAATGCAGTTTCTGGAACCTACCCTAGTGAGAATATCTTCAAATCATTCAACACAATATATCATGCAATAGGTGTATCTTTGCTTGTATGAAGACAAAGTTATTATTTTGAGTATTGTCTTCTCTCCTTAGAGTAATTTAAAGGGTTAATTAATTTTTTTTCTACTGATGGACAAAAGAAGCATAGAGTGATTATGTGAATTGACCATGGTCACCCAGGAAGTCTAGCCTGACTGACTGTTACAGATATAAGATAGGGAACTCAGATGCATCATTACAAAAGCAGTGAGTAAAAAATAGTGGAAAAATTAATATTTCAGCGGAAATATTAACAAGAGTGGCTCAGCTACAGCATTATGTGCAATCTAAAGATGGGAATAGAAGAAAAGCAAAACACCAACTTTCTGTTGCTGCAGGGTACTCTGCTGCTGCTGTGAGCAAGTAGTTCTTGCTTGCACCAGCCATTCCTGAACACTGGGGCTTTGTGAGGACACAAAGTCCAGATCACTCTCTTCCTTTTCTTGCAAAGATCCCTGCTTTAAGAAAGAGACATTAAGATTAAAAAAATCTCTTACATTGTTGGAGAGCAAGCAGGTTCAGCTCATCTACACAAAACCACTCAAATTGCTGGCTCATGTAAATTCTGAAGTGAACAATGACTTTAGATTTCTGACTTTTACTGATTTTTGTAAAGAAAAGCATCCCTAAAAATGTTAAAATAAACATGCATCATTGCACTTAGCAGAATCAAAGACCACAGGTTAGAGACCTTGGTCTGATGTGTTTCTGAAGACTGCTCTGCTTCTAAAAACCAGCCTTGATTTGAGAAGGGTGCAGCTTTACATGAGAATGCAAGGATTCAGTGGTTTGTTTCTGCCAGGTTTTTTATCTATATAAAGAAATTTTTTTTGTCAAATTGAAAAGGAGAAAATTCTGCTTGTCATTCTGGTCAAAATGTACTTATCAGTAAGTACATAACTCCATGTTCGGCAGAAACACACTGGATAAAGAGCAGATGACATGATAGGAACATGAGAAAGTAAGAGAGATCAAACAACAGAATGTCAGAACAGCACAGCAAAAGCAACAGTTCCTTCCATTCATATTTCTATCATGTTTTTCCAACACGAGTGATTAGAAAGGCTTTCTGTGTAAGCAATGCAAAAAAAACCCCAAATGCCTTAAAAGCTCAAAAAAAATGTTTTATCAACTTCTTGGCTTCCAAAGTCCATGTTGGCTGTAAGTTTAAGTAATTTTAGCAGCCAATGTATTCTAATGTAGGTATTTTAACATGCTTGCCCTTATCCTTATGTTAAAGACAGACTTGTAAGCCTGGCTGCTTAGATGCACACATCTCTCTGGATTTATTTAATATTACTTGCAGTCATATGATGACTGTAGAGCTTGCACCTTTTTGGTTTTTTTGAAACCTTGAAGATCTAAATCTGGGGCTTAATATCTCTCCCATTTTGTCTATATATCTCATTTTTGTAGGATTCATATTATGCCCATGATTTATTTGGCTTTTACTCTAAATAGATTAAGACTGCGGAATGGTTCAACAGCAGGCTCCCCAAAACACAGACACTCTGCCTTCCAGATGACATTTCTCAGATCAGACAGGGACCAGCAGGGCAGAGGTGGGTGTGGAAATCCTACTTGCCTCACCTGGTGCTCCTTATGCTAACAACTGAGATGGACCTCTGCCACCAGTGCCCCTGACACCCGCCACTAAAACAGCAGAGTTTTGCTAAGTAGTAGAAGGTTACGTGTAAGATTTTAATTTTGGGGGATGATGATGAGTGTGCTAAAGTTGAAAGGACCGATTAGTGTTAGAGGATATAAACTGTTAAGAGGAGAAAAACAAACAAGAAGTACCTGGTGCTGGAAAGAATCATTAGCCCTTGCTTTATGAAGTAACTTTTTTTTTAACTAAGGTTTCAGTTTGCAGGTAAACTCTGATACTTTACTCTGTAGGAACAAGTTTCTAGAAAAAGCTGATGCAGCTGGAGTCTGAACAATGTCATTACAGAATGTCAGATTGAGCACAGAAAATAGTATATCAGAAGTAAAGAAGTTCTGGAATTATAGCTTTACTATTACAAGTAAACAGACAAGGAAACAGACAATCTTTCTGCAAATTGTAGGTGGGGAGAATCTGCTGAATTTTATATACTCTAGGGACCATAGTTATTCAACTCATAAATTTATTTAAGGAACAGTATCTAATTCTTTGCATTTGAGTGGGCTGGTTGTTTTCAGTTACATTTTGGGTCTGTTTTTCTCTGGGAAGAGGACTGAAAAGATATAATTTTAGAATTATACTAAGACACATAATTAATAGTCTCATAGTTCCTGCAATAGCAAGCACTGAAAAAGGGATTGTGGCATTTGTTGATGCAACAAAGTTTTGCAAATATGCTACTGTACATACTTTTTAGATCAAAAGTATTTGTGAACCAGATTTTATCATTGTCAAATTACAGAATGTAAGTTTGAAATAAACTTGCATTTACAGTTGCATTTTCATTTGATGTCTGTCTGAAGGAACTGCATTACGTTTCATTTAAACAGCCAAGGAAATACAAGCTTGAACCTGTCATTCCCAGACACTGTCCAGTCACAGAAATAAATGGAAAATCCCTGAAGAAGATTGTGATGAAATCGATCTTTCAAAGGATTTTCAGAATTATAAAAACTTATATAAGACATACTTTTTCTTGTGAAACTGAAGTCATTCTTCCCTCACAAATCCTTTGCAATAAAAAGTAAAAAACCACTATCTGTTTTGTTGAGGTTTTTTTACTGCAGAATCTCTTCTACTTTGTTTTTTAAGGAGTCTGTTCAGTTTCATTGCCTCTAAACCAGAGAATAAACAGTAACAGACACAATATTTTGTGTTTCAAAGCGCTACCTTTGGAGACAGCATAGTCCTGAACACTCCTGTTCCAGCACATTTCTGGTTAGTTTCACCACTTTATTTTATGAATAAAGTAGGTGGTCTCCAAGTCACCTTTTCCGTAGCACTAGTGACATTCATTAACTAAAATCAGAAGAAAACTGAAATTGTTCCAAGAAAGTTGGAGAATATCACACTGACTCCTAAAAAGCCTTGTGCACAGGGATAATAGACAGACTGAAATATGCTTTAAGGAAAATACAGCCCAGTCTTTATAAGTCTTACAGTGCTACTTGGGAACTTCCTTCTTTTGGGAGGAACTTCTTTTGGTCTATGCCTCTGGGCAGTTACAAGGTTATCAGAACATGTAAAAGACAGAGTTTTTTACACACATGCACAACAGAGCTGTTAGCCTGTAATGTTTCTCAAGTTTAATACTGGTATTGGATAGAATTTGGGGCATCTGATGATCTTGGTTTCAGTCCTCAGTGTTCAGAAAATGACAAAAAACCTCTCATTAGAAAAAAATTGCTCAGTGACTAGATGTTGTACTGCCTATGTCTATCTTCTTACATGATCTGTAAATGAAGTCAAAGAAAGGCTTGAAATTCATAAAGAACCTTGAGTCTTGCATTCATGCACCATCTTACATCATTCATATTCTACATCTGGAAATTATTTTGTTGTTATTTTAGATATTAGAAGATCTGTTTAAGAAAAATAATAATAAAAAAAATCTGTTTAAGAGTTCAAGTAAACTAAATCACATCACTGCATTTTAAAATATTTGAAAGTATTTTAAAATTTAGCAAAAACTCTGTGATGCTTTCACTTCACCGGTAATACATGAGAACAAAATATCATGTGCCTACATAGTGTCGATAGCTTTTCATTTGCCTAGTCATAAGGTTAAATAGGCAAGAATAACATTAAAGTTACTTCACCTTAGAGGCGATAGGAACAAATACCTTGGGGTTTCTTTTCTTTTTTATTTCTCTATTTTTCTGAAATTACGTGAAGTTTTAAAGCTATGCTGTTGCTTTGGACTAAAAATAGTTCTTAGAACATCAAGTGACTTTTCAAGCTAACCTCTCAGTAGGCTTTAATCTGCATTACAAGCCAGAAATCTTTGAAGCTTATCATGTTTAATTTGCACAGCAAAGCCAAGAAAAGAAGTAAAAGAAAAGGGAGGGGGGAGGGAGTCACAGCAGGGCAAGCAAATTCAAAACCAGTCAGTCACATTACATGGTTGGGTTTCTTGTATGTATTCAGTTCTCCACACGCTATTTTGACCTAAAGAATGACCAAAAGCAACTGTTAAATACAATGAATTAGTGGCAATGAGCAGACCAAAGCTGCTAGGAATAGAAACCTAGGGCAAGACTGAGGTTAAATGAATTTTTGCTTATATACTATTTTATTTAGTATAACGATGCCACTAAGTATTAGCCATAATTAAAAATGTTTCCTTATATTATCTGTTCACTGTGTTGTGCACACTGTAAAAAAGCACATATTTAGGATCATTCTTTGACTGGGGATAGTAATCCTGCCCCAGACCACACACAGTCTAACGACTGGAAACAGGAACAGACTATATCCTGACCAAGCTAATCATATCTATTTCATTATTGTCTTTTCAGTGAAGATACTGAGGAGGTTAGGATAGTTTTATCATAAAGCGATGTTAACTTGAAAATTATCAACAAAAGCTTTCTAGTCAGCTCTTTATTTTGGAGTTACAACTCCATTTACTGACTAAAGATGAGTAATGCAAACTAAATCAGTGCAACGCTTATGCTCTTTTTCCCAGTTACATAAAGTTGCTATGAAGTCCCCAAATTCCTGCCCACCATGAAAACAGCTGGAAGGAGCCACTCACCCGAATGTTGATCTGTTTGTCGTGGAGCACCCTCTGCAGCTCCAGAAGGCTGCCCTTCAGTGTCCTGAGCTTCACAGCCAGCTGCTCTGCCTCATCCTTGGTGTGAGCCTTCCCTTCCATAAGCAAGTTCTCGTTGTGCACAGACAACTCTGACAAGGCTACCACCTTCTGTTCTATTTCAACCAACATGTTCTGCAGCAGCAAAAACAAAGACCCAAATTCATACATTTTCCAGCACTTGTCACGTTTTCAGGCAAGATGACCTGTGGCCTACCTTACCCGTTGCCAAACTAAGAGAAATTCAGATTATCATTGTTTTTCCTTCAAGTCACATTCAGAGTTCTTTAGAAAATGCTTGCAAATGTTTGTATTTGCCATTTCAGTTTGCAAACTTTTTTCAAAATAGGAAATTAAAAAGTTATTTGAAACAAATAATTTGTTGTAGAGAAGATGCTCTTTATTTGCATACTAAAGGCAAGGATGGCTAAGAAGCTAGACTGACATCCATTAGTGACAAGAAATGAAGCACGCAGCCAGAGTTACTTCTTCCCTCTTCTTTCATTTCCATGTAGTCAAGTGCTTCCTACCTCCTCCTATGTGTTGCTCTGGCTGTGTTGGTAAGCCTCTCTTCTCACTATTTGCTCTTTCTGATTGGTGCATGACGGACTTAAGGATTTCTGTATAATCCTCTTTAGTCTAAAGAGAGACTTAAAGTGACAAATCTCTGGCATGTTTATTCTCAAAAGCTACTTCCCTGACATTCCATTAACTGTTCATGTATTAGAGACATTGTGCATATTTTGATCTCCCAGATTCAATGCTCAAACAAGTCTAGCTCAGAAACCTAGCCTGACATCATATGCTTTTGCTTCCATAGCAACTGTCAAGTATGAATTTAGAAATATTTCTCCTGAATGAATATGTGCAGAACAAGACCTGCAGAGTCTCTAAAAAGTGGAAAAAATATATAAAACCTATTGTATTAAGATTTAAAGAAGCAGCAAAAGAACAGCAGTAATAACTCTTCCACAAAGTTAACTTTTTGAGTTTCCTACAGATTATATTAAAAAAAAATGCTTTGTTGAAGTTCATAGGGTTTATCTACATGCAACAAAAAGCTCTCAAGGACAGGTGATGAAAGGACTCTTGAGACTAAGCAGACTGAAAATTACAATGATGAAGTGTTGTCAGTGAAAATTCTTCAGACTCGCATAAAACTTAACTCTCATTTATCCTAAAAGAATTGAGATCCTCATTCTTTAATAAGAAAAAGTATATTTTGTCCATCTGTCTATTGTCTCTTTTGTAATTTTAATTATAATGATCATATAATTCTAAAGTATCATTTAAAAATAGAAAACTTCTACTAATTTGAGAACCTGGATGTTAGGAATCATCCAAGTCTTATTAATAAGAGTATTTGCAAAAACCCTTATTGCAGCAACATGTCTTTCTCAGTTGTTTTGATATTCTGAGTTGATTCATCTTCAAGCCATAAAATCAGTAAATACTGATGATTATCCTTTATTTTTGCATGTATGTGAGGATTATTCATGAAGAAAACACAGCACTACCCCAGTCATCACTGCTAGTGCCACTATGTTCTTCAACTGGAAAAGGACATGTAGGAAAGTACACTGCAGGTGTTTTCATATCTATCAGGCGAGTGGGTCAACAATTTCAGCTTGAGGCGAGCAAAAACAGTAAGTGAAGCAAATATAGTGCTTTCAAAGCTAAACAGAACAACATCTGAAAGATGTGGAACTTTAAATCTTTCTGCAGCCAGGACATTTTGTTTTCCTACTGTCACGTTCACATCGGCTTTCTAAAGTGCTGTTTGCAATCTCTAATGAGAAACTAAGAACAGGCTGTATTTTGTTCCACAAATCTTTGAGGGAGCTTACTGAGCATATAGAAGATGCTAAAGAGCTCAGAAACTTCTCCACAAATATGCTGGCTCATTCAGCTCAGTAACTGGCTTAATATTTTACCTGACAGTCTACCAGTTGTGCTTCCATGTCCATAGGTTCTTCGGCAGGAAGCAGAGCGGAGTCCAGAGTTGCTCGGGTACTGAGTAGCCAGTGGTCAAGCTCATCAGCTTCACAACGGTACCTCTGAAGAGCCTGCTCTTGCCGCTGTTCTTCGAGCTGCTCATTCAGTTTTTCCTTGAGGTACAAAATGTATTTTACTTTTTAGGAGAAATAAACCATAACAGTCACTTGTAAAAAGTTGCTCTTCTCTATTTTGCACAAATCCTATGCAGGATTTCTAAGCCATAGTAAGACCTGTCTTTTACAAAATATTATTTCCTTTAATCAATGAGTGTGTTTTTCTGATGACTGAAATTCTGCTTCAGTTCAGTCACTTTATTTCTACTTTCTCCAGTAGAACTTTGCTATTACAGCTTTCTAAAGGTGAAGTCTTTTCTACCCCCTTTTGTTGCTCTCCTGTGGGTTTCCCCCCACACCAATTGAGTTTGCTCAATTAGTACAGCACTGTTTGCTTAGGGAGAAAGATGCACGTGAATACACAGAGCTGAAAATGGGTTGGAGGGAAAGGAGAGCAACTTTGCCTTTTTTAGCAGCAGGCTGTTAGTCAGCTTTACTGTCTCTCAAGAGAGGCACAAGAGGGATACTTCAAGGACCAAAAAAAGTACAGGTGGGCCCTTAGTACAGTCACATAGATAAAGAGAAGCCAGAAGAGCTGTCTACTTTCTCTGGCCTCTCAGAGGATCCCTGAGCCATGGGGTGTGGAAGGACATTAAGCTTCAATGCCTGCTGCAGCATCAGCATCACAGCAACACAGATGCCCCAAGTCCATTCATCAGCTCATCCATCCATTGGAAAGACAGCAAGTCTTGCTCACCCTTTAGCTGCCCCATATGAATTCGAAAACTGGCTGAACAGCTGCGGCCAGGGGAGAGTGATCCAAGTCTAGTGAGTGGCCAATAATAAGGCACAACAAGTTTGCTGATGACATAAAATGGGAGGAGTGGCTGATAAGCAGAGGGCTATTCTTCCATCTAGATGGACCCTAAAAGGCTGTAAAAATGAGCTGACAAGAAGAAAGTAAAGTGCTTCCCTGTACCTGCAGGGGAGCAACCCCAGGCACTACTACAGGCTGGAGGATAAGCAGATGGGAAGCATCTTGGCAGAAAAGAACCAGAGGGGTCCTGGTGGATGCCAGCTTGAACATAACCCAACATTGTGGAAAAGAAGGCCAGTGGTGTCTGGGGCTGCTTTAGGAGTGTTCTCACCAGGATGAGGGAGGTGATCCTGCCCCTCTACTTAACACTGGTGAGTCCCCACCTGGAGTACTGTGTCTAGTTTTGTGCTCTTCAATACAAGAAAGATACTGAGTTCTGGAGAGAATAGAGGGGATTTTGTGAATAAGAAAACAAATAGGACGGTCATAGGATACTTGATTGTATCAGATAATGTGAAACCTAAGCATGGTGCAAATACTATGGAACAAGGGGAGAAGATTGCATTGGATCTGGCTGGGATGGAGTTAACTTCATTGCAGGCTGTACAGTGCTTTGCAGCTGTGGTTAAATCTACACTGATAACGCAGCAATGTTATGGCTACTGCTGAGCACAGCATAAAGGCTTTCTATCTGCCCCTCACAAAGGCAAATAGGCTGGGGGTGGGCAATAGGTTGGGAAAGGAGATAGCCAGGACAGCAAAATCTGAACTGATCAAAGGGATACTCCACACCAGATGAGATCATGCTCATCAATAAAAGCCCAGGGAAAGGGAGGGAGGGACATTTGTGGTTATGGTGCTTGTCTTCCCAAGAAACACATGCTGAGCTTTCCAGGAAAGTAGCTAAACATCTTCCTGCTGTTGGGTAATAGTGAATAAGTTCCTCATTCCCTGCTTTCATGCACAGCTTTCCCTTATCCTGTTTAAGCTGTCATTATTTTGATCCATGTGTCTTTTTGTCTGCCTTCTATTTTTAACCCATCTCAAGAGAGAGGAGGAGGGTGGGTATTTGGCTGCTCCAGGGTCAACCTACAACACTTTGTAAGTGAATTCAGACTCAAATGTTCAGGGCAACTTCCTCACAGAGAGAAGTGTTTGCACAGCTTCTCTGCATGCTCAATTTCAATTTAAAAAAATTAAAATTGCTGTTAGAATAATTTAAAGAATAATGATAGTGTTAGATGTCTTAAATAATCCAGACCTGAACAAATGCTAGTTAAATTAGGTCCACAGAAAGAACAATTTTACTAGTCCACACCCTCAACAGCAAGATATTTTCATTACCTGTTTTATCTTTATTTCTACATTTACTTTCCTGGGGTGTTCTGCAAGATTTTTTCTGTGAAATCAGAGCTATGAAATACACAGGTCAAATTACTGACTGTTGTCTAATACCACATATATTTCCTAGACAGTATTATTAGGGAATACTTGTGGTATAGTGTCAAAGAATCCTAATCACAGTTAAGAGTAATACATTCGACTCATACTCTATCTTGAAATTATTAGTTAGCATTTCCTAAGTACTACCAAGATGTATGTTAGATCCTGTATGGGGTGCAAGCTATAAACAGCTAGATCTCCTATTCTACTTCCAAGTTCTCATTTTTAATTAAAAGCTATTTTATTTCTGGGAAGGAAATGCTTAGCCCAACTTTGTTATTTTAAGACTAGCAAAGATATTTTCTAATGACCTGTTCACCATCTCAGGTGACTGGACAGAACTAAAGTAGCTGAAGCACCCTGAGATGCTCCAGTGTCTTGGTTTAACCCCAGCTGGTAACTAAGCACCACACCTTAGATGCATACAGCCAATTCTCACTCTGCTTCTCTGAATCAATTGATGATGGAAAATATGGAGGCAGTAGTTGCTGTGTTTGTGAATTCATTGCTGTAGTTCTTAACAGTACAGAAACAAAGCTGCCCTGCAGTGTTCAAAGTAGCCAAACTGTAACCAGTGTTATCATGACTGCATGTTCTCACCGGTACAGTATATGCAGAAGCATTCCTATTTGTAAAGAGCTTCTAAAACTCCCCTTAGTATCTATCAGAGGATTTTTGGTAAAGTTGATAGGCAAAGAAATAAAGGGGTGCATCTTCCACAAAAACTAGTTTGCATGCAAATCACTGGAAAGATGAGTGTAGACAACGATGCAAAGATTTGGATAAGGAGCTGCTTCTTGTTTTAAGCTTTCCCTCTTCTCCTGTCTCACAGCTTGGAGAAGTGATTTCTCAAAAGTTTACTGTAGACAGAGAGTGTGACTTTTAATATCTGTATTTCATTTAAACACACACAGATAGATATAGATATAGATATAGATATAGATATAGATATAGATATAGATATAGATGATATAGATATAGATATAGATATAGATAAATGTATCTCCATATGGCTACATATAGCCAGAAGAAACTTGGAACATATATAATATGTTCCAATTTCTTTCTAGCTGCTTATCCCTTAGCATTAAGATGAGGGGCTCACTAAAAAAAGAATGGTAATTTATTACTGAAAGGAATTGTGAGATATAAGCAGAACTGAAAATTACTTTTTTTTTTTTTTTTATGGTGACTAAAAATATTGGCAATGTTTTTTCTTGTACCTCTAATAGCTGTCGTTTCCCTGATGCCTTCATTCGAATTGTGGCCATTCGTTCTGCCAAGACCGTGAGGGTGGACTGCAATGCCATTTGATCAGCACCTTCTGCATCCAGTGGTTCTGAAACAAGCTCCTGGGCCAATGATGTCTGAAGCTCACTGATTTCTTCTTGCAACATTAAAATCTCATCCATCAAAGCCTATTTAGAAATGAGAGCACAGAATGCATTTGCTTCATTTACCAGCAAGAAGGAAGTATTTCAGGAGACACAGACTAAATATAAAATTCAAGACAACTATCCTGGCAGAGCACCAGGAACAGAGTAGAGCAGAGTATCACTACCAGTATGGCAGAGATAGTATTCCATAAGGACTGAGTCCTGCTTTTAGAGGCTTAAGTAAGGATCATATATGTGGTTACTTAAATACTGATTTAATTACATGTCTTGAATTTCAATGTATCACAAGGAATTATTTTGGAAATTGGAAATTTACTCCTCCAGTAAATTATCTGTAGGGCACTCTAGTATTCACAGTAAAGATAATGAACAAGTATGAGAGTGTGTGTTTGTGAGAGAAAAATAGGAGCGTGTTTTAGCTTCCAGCCTAAAACTATCTAAGTGGGCAAGAAACATCCAGCAATAGATGCACATATTCAGAGACTTATTCCATGGTGCAAAATAAGTTCCTACTCTTATTCTTATCCTATGAACTAGTTTTCAAGATACCTATAAAAGGATGGTACCATGGAATAAATTTCTGAATATTTGCATCTACTGCTGGATATTCCTTGTCCACTTAGAAAGTTTTCAGCTGGAAGCTAAAACATGCCCCTGTTTTCTCTCATAAACACACTCACTGGCCACACGACATAGATTCAAGCTATCAGATAGAAGACTTAGGTGATTACAACTTAGACATATGTCAGATGTGTTACTTAATAAAGTATTCTCTTATTATTCAGATCATTACTTCTTGAGACTACTTGGGAGATAATTTTTGTGTGCTTTTGGTTTGTTTTGTTTAACAAGGTGAAAAATTTATTTTGATCAATATACAATGCATCAGTATTGGTTATGATCTTAGTAAATTTGTAATATTACAAATATTCTTCAGCAATGATGCTGAAGAACAGTATGTATAGCCGTCATTGGAAACAATCTTGGACAAAAGCTTTTGCTGAAAATTGCAACTGGACAAACTCTTATGATCTATTCTATTTATTTCAAAAAGGCTCCTTATTTAAAGAATCCTCATCACACCATCCTTAGGACAGCAAGAAGGCCAGAAAGGCAAGACATACAGTTAGCAGAGAATGTTCATGCAACAAATGCATATGTTTGAGGTATCCAGCTATAGGATTTTTTAGAGGTTACCCTCCCAAAAACAGAACAAAAGATATGCAGGCAATGTGCACTCTCCCTCTCCTCCTCATATGTAAGATTTTACCTGATGTTCAGCCATCTGGCTCTCTGGGCTTTTGGCAGGTTCCAAACTCTCACTTAGCTTGATTTCAGTGGTCTCCATTTTCGTGGATATAGACTGGAGTGTGTCCTGATACTTCTGTTGACGCTCAAGAGCTTCATAGAGTGTGCGCTGCTTTTCACTGATCTGAAGAATGGAAGGTATAAATTCTGACCTCTGACACAGGATCTGCTATTTAGTCTGCTTCGTAAGTCCCCAGGCTTAAGAGACTAAAGCAAAAAACTGGCAACAAGTATTCAAGAGTATAAATTACAAATCAAAACATCCATATTAAAAGTATTTATTTACTTAAATTTCATCAGTAAAATTCTAGGTTCTGCCACTTAAAAAAAATTGACATTAATAAAGCAGGGAAAACCTATACACATTGTCATGCAGTGTTTAAAATTTCATGCACTCATCTATGGATGTGCAATATTTGCTAGACATGTAGTTCTTACCCTGTGCCTCAGAAAGGAATTAAAATTTATAGCATGTGATCAAGACTCTGACCATTTTCATACATCACTGAATGATTACGCTGCAAAACTATACAGAAATGTGTTGATTAAGTATTTGGAGAAACTAGATTCTTGAGCCTTCTTTGCCTACATGACTGGATATCCCTACTAGGTTATGGAATACAGCTTGTCATAGCCAATTATTTCTGAAGCCAACTATCAGCTTTAATGAATCTTGTTTTTTATTAATGGAGGTCCCTCTTCCATACTGTTTCAAACAAAGAACAAAAATAATATATTGCAACTAACAATTCAAGTTACCCTCTGAAAACCAAAAACTGCAGAGCAGAATATTAGCTGAGCCAGTTATTTGAATTTTATTCCTTACAAGCTAGCCAACTATTTTGAAGTCTCCAGATGCAAACTTACCACATTTTTCAGTGTTTCCCAAGAACGCTGCAAATCATCCAATTTGGCACTAGCAGACGATTCTAAGCCTGGTTCATAAAACTCCTGGGTGGCTGAGGTGCTGGGCTGAATTTTAGCAGCTTCTGTCTGCAACTGTTCAGCAGATAAGGCTTGGTAATAAGCAATGTCCTACAAGCACGAAGTACATTATTGCACTTTCAAAAAGAAAGATACTGCATACTATGCCCCCCCCATACTGTCCCACTGCATATGTCCATTAAAATAAAGCCCACAAAGCCAAAACCATGACACCTCTTAATAACACACTAAATTAGTGTTTAATACTACCAGACTGAGCATGTTTTGGGCCTTCACTATGAGGAGTTTGGGCTCATTTTTTTCATGATCATATTAGCTAGGAGGTGCAGAAGGCAACTGTGGACAGTCACGGAAAGGCTGGGAGGGGAAGTGCTATAAATGGGAGTGTTGTTCCAGCATCATTACAACTACACATGGGGGAAACTCCATCACAAAAGACACTGGGTTATGGTACTGTAGGTGGCAAATACCACCCTAATGAACACTATCACAGAGAGAGCAGCAGAGGAACCTAAAAGGTATATGCTGAAGGACTGGTAAATGAGGCAACAAAGAGTATGAAGCATTAGCTTATTGTAAGCTTTCAAACAAAGAGGGAGCCTCAACGAACTTATAAAAGATATCGAGAAAAGGGACCAAAAGTGCTAAGGAAATAGGCAAATATTCAAACTGCCAATGAAAATTCAGAGTAGAATTATTTCTCACCTGAAGTTCTATACTTAGTGTATGGAGATTTCTTCAACTGTTGGAGATGACAACTGAAAACATCTACAGAAAATGTAGAACTAAGGAAACAAGTACAGTATCTATACTTAGGTCAGGAAAGCAGACTTGATGACAAGGATTATTTAAAACTGAAGCCATGTTTGTTTACGGTAGCACCAAATTGTTACGTTATTTGGGAGGTAAAAAATGCTGCCTCAAGGGAGGGTGCAAAGCAGACAGAACCAGGCTCTTCTCAGTGGTGCCCACTGACTGGAACAGAGGCAATGGGCACAAACTGAAGCACAGGAGATTCTCTCTGAATAACAGGAAATGCTTTTTTTTCTGTTAGGATGACTGAGCACTGGGACAGGTTGCCCAGGGAAGTTGCAGGGTCTCCATCCTTAGAGACACTCAAAATGAACCAGAATAGTTCATTTAGTTCATATAGTTGTGGACAACCTGCTGTACATGGTCCAGCTTGATGAAGGCTGTTGGGCCAGATGATCTCTGGAGATCCCCTCAACCTCAACCATTCTGTGATTCTGTATAGATGTATAAAAGTCAGGTACTAAACAAGACTAATTCTGAGGCACTGGAGCTCAAAGAATAAGAAGGATCCTAATTTGGAACAGAATGCAAATATGTAATCTAATACCATATGTGAACAAAACCAGACAGGCTCTGGAAGAGCACAGAAACCAGATCACTCCCATAAAACTGTCCTAAAGTGTCCAGTGAGGTACTTCAAAGACAGTAATTGGGAAACTTGAACAATTTAATGATGAAATTGGAATAGGTAACAGCTTAGTACAGCATTCAGGACTGCAATTGCAGAATTTCTCACTGACCACAAGTGATGTTTCCATGTAATGGTGAAAAATTGCACCATGGGAGGCAACTTCTTGTTTTGCCTTGCCTGCAGCTACTCTCCAGCCCTTTGTTAGTCCCCTCTCAAGTTCAAAGCTTCTGTGACCTCTTAATACGGTTTTCAGAATAAAGGCTTTGCTTTTAAAGAGAGGGAAAAGCAATCCCTTTCCCCATCCTTTCAACTGCTTTTCTGGAGCATACAACATGGCAGCTTCTCTTTGGCAGAGCTTTCACAAGATGATAGCAGGAATCCAGATGTTCATGCAAGTATAAGATTTTGTTGCCCCTATAAAGGTCGTAATATCCCATGACTGTTCTTATGAAAAGTAGGCAATGAACAGTAATCGAGCTTTGTTGTTAGGTGCAGAGGCAAAAGGGTGTGTTTAGACTTGGTAAGATAGGTAACAAGGGCTGGTGCACCCTAGATGAGTATTCATAAGGGAAAGAATCCTTAAGTAGGCTGTGTACAAGGAGATAGAAAAGCATTTAACAGTGATCCAGAGCATAAGACTAGAATCACAGGATCAGCTGTGGCCTACAGGGCATCGTGCCAACACTTCAGCTTTTCCAGTTCAACTGCTCTGCACTATGCATCAGGAAACCAAGATTTTAAAAGTGTGTCAAATTTTAATCAATTACATCTTTGGGTAAGTGCAAGGAGATCTAGCCCCAAAGGATTCTCATTCAATACTGCGGCACAGATGAAGTGTCTGATTTTGCTAAACATCAAAATTAACAGCATTTCAGGACTGTTAACATACTGTTATATATATTGTGAAATTCCTCAGTGTTTCCAACATTAACACATTAATTATTTTCCCCCACCCTGTTGTTTTCAGAGGAGTTTCAGAAAAAAACATTTTTAAACTTATGATAGTGCTAGAATTGTCACTTCCTTGTATTTCTGGTCTTGTTTTAATCTATTTCAATACATAACCTCATTATTTCACTAATAAGCAGATGGCACTTGTTTGATACTTTCATTACTTGTTAGAAATGCAAATAAAGTGTATAGATGTCTGAATTCAGACTAGCTATGTTTCACCATTAAGAGATGCTAGGAAACTGATGAAACACTGTAGAGAGTTAGGATGAAATTAAAGCAGTCTTTTTCATAACCTTTCCTTCCCCAACTGCCTCTTCAGAAGAGTTTTACATTTTTTTCCGAAGACTAAACTCTTGTTATTCTTCACTTTCTAGAGTTCCTGTTCACATTTTTTTCTGGTAGTTTGCAGGTGATCCTCCTGTGAGAAATCAGTTCTTAACTCTGGCTACATTTTAAAACAAAATATTTCCCAATAATTTTGCATATTTGCTGTAAAAATACAAAATGCTTATAACTTATATTTGATCTCTTAGTTCACTTATATCTAGGATATTTTTTTAATCAACTTTCTTCCCTGAAGTATCCCTAGGCATTCATCATGACCAGCACTGGCAGCTTCATAGCTTCTTTAGTCTTAATCTCATTTGAGTACAAAACTAAGAATTTTGTAAATAAACCACTGCATTTTGGAATCTTCTTCCGCTTGCTGTTTAATGCATGCAGTTCATTTCAACATTAACCACACTGAAGAAAATTTCAGCTCAAACTTTTTAAGATTGTTGTAACAGCATCAACTCTGTCTCTCTCAAAAATCTTCTGCTAAATGAAAGATATAATATTTTTGTTCAATTTTGCCCTAGTAAATCACTTATTCTAAAACTTGTATTTTGGTGTCGGCTAATGGTGCAACAGCATGTTCACTGTGTTTTCCTTATTGTCTGAGTGACTGGAGCTGTTTGACTTGTTTTACATTTTCAGAAAATACTAACAAGCTGACATTGGCTTTTTTGATTAGGAAGCAAGCTGCTTCTGGTCCTTCAAGTCCTTCATTAATTAATGGTGTCATAAGAATTCTAAGTTGAAATATATAGATGCCTTTCTACTGTAAGTAAACTTCACAGGGAACTTTTTGATTATCTAAAGTGATGGAAAACTAGAAAAGTCCTTCTTATGCATGATACATCTTTCTTTAGTATGCCATTGATGATTTTGCCACCACTCTTACTATCTTACATTAGTATTCTTTCTTATGTCTTATATTTAGCAACTTCTATAGCACCATATGGCTTTCTGAAATTAGCAGAAGGAATCAATGAGCATCTTGCTCAAACTTGCCTAATTCTACTCAGCAGTGCAGCACAACACATTCTAACCTTCAAATCTGCAGTAGTCAATTTTGGAAGCAGTCACAAATGCAAGACCAACCAATAAACCACAAAATTCAGAACATGATAAATTCAGTGAGTTGGTGATGGCTTTTAAGGCTCATTTCTAAACTTCAAAAGCAGAAAATTTCCTGTGTGACTTTTTGTGCACGATGCTCAATGTGCTGGCTAAATGTTTACATTTTAATCAATACTGACATACACTTGCTCCTATTAGAAGTGCAAGAGCCCTCAGTTTTGATTTAAAATCTAATGTCTGTTATTTCACTGATCTGCCTCACTGGCACTTTAAACAGACTCCCATGGAAATGAACAGCGTTGGAATGAATGTGAAAAAACCCCACATGAAAGTTAGTAAATGAAATTATATTAAGTAGAAGATACCAGGCTGTGATTTCAGTGCCTCAATGGCAACAGTACAGTAAGATAGATGGATATGGACATAATACAATGTTTCATTATGGGGAGTACAAAAAGGCATTTTTTCTCAGGATGCAAGATTCCATTGAGTACTACTGACAAAATAAAAATTTTAAGTAGAAAACACTTGGTGACATTGCAATTGTTGCTTTAAATTTATTTTAAAAAAGAATGAGTAGCTGTAACACTGGGTTTATACAATTTCAACTCAGAAGTCAATACCTGAACCAGAACCTGAAGGTCCAGTTTGGTAAGAGGTTAAGCCTCAGTTCCTTGGAGCTATAGCTAAACATTATTTCAGAGGATTAAATAAACCACCTGTGGAATGGAACCGTGTATGTCTGAGATAAAAGCTGAATGAATGCCAAGAGAGAGGTACCTGGTTAACAGAAGCATCTGTATTAGCCACGGGTGAGGGAGAGCGACAGGCAGGTGGAGAAGAAATCTCACTGTTGGTTCCCTCCTCCCCAGACTCCTCAGTGACAGGGGAGAGCAGAGTGTGACAGCGACCAGCAGTCATCTGCCACAGGAAAAGCAACCCCAGAGCACAGGAAGAAAATCAGTTACCTCAGCTGAGGCTTGACTTAGACTGGTATCAAAACAACACATGGCCAGAATTACCATGACATTAATTAGTCATGCTTCATGCTCCTACATTTACCAGTTTAGAAATCTGTTGAATAAATAGTCTCATTTACTTGTCATACTTAAGTATGAAAGTGCTCTCCTGCACCCTAATGGATTTTAAAGCACAGTATAGAGCAAGCAACTCAATAATAACAAATTCAGGTTTGCCTAAACACCTTCTAATACAATCTCTGCTGCATACAGAAAAATTATGAAGAGCTACAGAATACTAAACTACTTGTCTCAGTATCCAGGTCTGGTTAGAACAAGGAACAGACTTGAAATATAAAATACACACAACCCAGTATTCAAACACAACTTTCTTCCTTCCCCAGTGCTGCTACAGAGGGATAAATCCTGAAGTCTGACACTCAGACAAAAATCCCAGTAGCATGAGCTATATAGAATGTTTGTAATGAGACCCAGTTAGAAACAAACAAAAACAAAGTAAGTCAAACATTAGGCCTATGGCAGTACTTAAACAGCTTTCATTTCCAGTACACTCATCTGAGAATACAGCAGCATACTGTCAATTATCACATCAGCATTTTAATGTGTGAAAAGCCTATACACTGCATCATCTAATGAAATAATATTTATTCTGGTTTTATTTTATTCCTGCAACTCATCAATTTCTCAGCATTTGTTCTTGCATGTTGACAGCTACAAAATAAAAAATGCAGTATTTGCATATATTATCGCTCAGCAATTTCACATTATTTGTCTGTTAAACAACTTCAGCCTTTATCAACAAGTCCTGAGAACCCATATAAAGCAAAATACAGTAAAGGGAAGCTGCAACTTGTTTGGTTTGCCACATGACAGCCATTTCAAAAGCTAAAAGATGTGAGCTGTGGCAATTTGCTGTATAGGGGTGTTGTAATGATGCAAGAGGAAGCGGCTCAAATAATGAGGACAGCGACCAAAGCATTGCTTACCATAACCACCGAGGGATGAGTGGGGTGTGCTGGCAGCAGGTCAGAATCCAGCTCCTCCATTCCCTCGGACAGCCCCTCCACTTCTGTCACTGTCAGCAGCATGGTGGCATGTTTTGCTTTCATTGTCAGCATCTTGCACTTGGAATTCAAAGAAGCAATTTGCTCCTGGTATCCTTTGATCTTCTGAGCCAGCTCCTGAGGAAACATTTTTTTCCCCCTAATGCTGATGCAGCCGGGAAAGGCCACAGGACCGGCAGCATTTCAGCTTCCGCGGCCAAGCGCAGCTGTCCCCTCCTCGCTCAGCCAATACCACGGCAGAGCTGCCGCGGTGCTGACGAGCAGGATGTCGCCGGCGGAGGGACCCAGCCGGGCTCCTCCGGCTGCGCTGACACACCGCACAGCGGCGGCCGCCAGAGGCTCCGAGCGCGCCGCACCGCAGAGCGCAGGCGGCGGGCGACCGACCGACGGACCGACCGACCGACAGACCGACCGACAGACAGACCGACTGACTGACAGACCGACTGACTGACAGACCGACTGACTGACAGACCGACCGACAGACAGACCGACTGACTGACAGACCGACCGACAGACAGACCGACCGACAGACCGACCGACAGACCGACCGACAGACCGACCGACCGACAGACGGCTCACGTTCGCATGCTGCCTGAACCTGAGCCCACGTCTGTAAGCTGCACGCTGCAGCAAAGGGAAGCGTCTCTCCCTCTTCCTGCCCTATTTCCCCCCGCCCCCGATCTCGACTCCCATTTAGCTGAGGAAGATGAAGCTCCCCCGCGTCGTGCATGCCCGGGAAATGAGGTCATGTAGTGGCCACAACTGCAAAAAAAATGCCCCATTCAGCTCTCACCAGAAAGAATGAATTGTCCAAACAATGAGTTAACCCACAGGGTCTAACAGGCTCAAATGTGACAGGAATATTCAGTCACATAGTAAGATTAAATGCAGACTGGATGGCTTTTTGTCACTGTCTGGATAAACTGTATTTTAATCTCATTTTGGTTTTGTGTAACTCAACTGAGTTAAAAGTTGAGCAGCACAGGACTAACCTTTCTTTAGAAAGAGATGGGGAAACTAGCATAAAGCAGACTATAAGTTAAACTATTGTGGGTTTTATGCTTAGGAAATGCTCTATTTATGTGGCCAAACACCATAGTAAGCTTAAGATTTTTAGACAAGAGATGAAAATGAATAGCCTTATGACTATTCAAAAGTATCTTGTCTCCACTCCTACACTATACTGTTGCCCTGTTCAGTGTCCAGTTTCAAAGCTTTCAATTAATATACTTCAAATAAAAAATAGTGGAAGTGTTTCATATTTCTGCTGAAACTATTGTTCCTCTCTCCCTAGATGCTCAGTAATGAGTTTTGATCTAAGAAGTGAAAACATTTCTGTAAGCTTGCCTGATAAATCAGTGATTATTTGTTCAGTAGTATATTTCTTCTTCATTTTCATATATTCTTTTACTTCTTCAAAATCCACAAGTGTTCAAGGAAGAATAGAAATAGGAGCTGCAAGATCTAGTAGGCATAATAATATACTATTACAATATCTTTTTGAAAGTAAGCAAGACTACTGCCTCAGGCCGAAAAATGAGAATATTTTTTCGGTTGTATGACATTTTCAGAAAAAAAAATCCTCAAAATTACAGTGCAGAACACTCATTGCAAGAAATATCAAGTTAGGAATTAAAATAGCTCAAAGACTGAGGATGACACTTCGCTACTTGAGTTTCAATGGCACCTTGTCGCCATCTGTCATGTTAGCAACAAAAGGACAGTCATTCACAAATGCTCAATGAATGATGTATCTGAGCCTCAGTAGAATATTATTGTCATTCAGTATACTCTATTCCATCACCTTACTAAGTGCAATGACATTTTTGCTATTAATGTCCAATGCACTGAGTATCTAAAATGCCTCTTTCAAATGAAAACAAGGAAAGCAAAACAAGTAAACAAAAATGTGATTGTAGAAGAAAATTAGAAATAATAAAGCATCTTATAGAAGCAATGTCCCATGAGGTATTGTATTTTCCATTAAAATAATTCTTAAGTATGGAGATACTTGCCCACATTCTTATCTGAAATGCTAAAGAAACACAGGTCAGTAGACATGGTACCTACTTACATACACGCATATTAATACAAGCTTCTCAAAAATCAAGTTGTAATTTCCTTCTACTTTCCTCCTTAATTTTAATTCTAAATATAGCTACTAAAAATGTTCCCTTAAGTTCTTTTACATAGTCTTTAACAGGGAATGTGGTAGTTGATATTTTCTTAAATTAATAACACACCTAACAAACATCTTGATGGACTTGACTTTTGAAGTAGCCTAATAATATATGGTTCAGAATATTCACTTCATGTTATGCTTTTCTGCAGATATTTAGCAGAGAAAACATGAACCAAAATATGCTTATCTCAGTCTTTCAAATCCCCTTGCCCCTAAATGTGGAAAGCTTGCATATATGAAGTCTGTCTGTTCTGGCTGATCCCAACGTGCATTATCATAAAGCTGCTGTCCTCCTGCAGATGTTTAGGACTATTGCTCAAATGTACGTGAAACTTCAAGCTGCCCCATTTTTAATTCCTTCCTCCCTACAGCATTATTCCTTCCTCAAGCAATATTACCCTCAAATGCTGGCCACTCTTCTGCATTTGCTGTTTCAGAATATTTGAATAGAGAAAGTAGCATTATCAGTTCAATACCAGTAAAACCAAAAGTGCTTGTATATGCAAACTGCTCTTGAATTTATACTAAATAACAGTTGTAACAACTGCATAAAAAAATGAGTAACATTAGGTTGTATCACACACCAGAGGGAAGAGCTTTGATTCAAAGGTAAAGAAATGGTGCCATCTGGTGCCGAAAGTGATACACACAGCTCAGTGGTTCATTTTCTGTCCTAGGAATTACACGACAGGCAGGTGGTGGTGAAAGTGGCTCAGGAGGAGCTCTCAAGCCAGCACAGCAAGAAAGCTGTACAGAGACTATCGTGATTTATTCAAGGGCTGATAATCCATGAGTTTGTGGGCAGGAGTCTCAACTCAAGAGCAGAAATATCTTCCCAACAAAGACTTTAAAAGAAACCTTTGGAGTGAATGGTGCAGAGTTTTCCTCTAAATCTGTTGTGGGTTTCCTTTGATTCAAGTCTCTTGGTGTTCCTTATGAATGTGACTGGGATGAAAATGAACAAGTACTTCAGGATATACATGCGTATATGTACAAATTGTTTAGGATATACAGACTTACATATGGATCACCATACTAGCTGTGATTAACTGACCAACTGATGAACTTTGGCTTCTGGGACACTCCTCAATCAGGTTCTAATGTTAACTACTCCTTAATTATGCAATGCTTTTGTTTATCATAATGTCCTCTGAAGGTTAGGAGATATCTGAGTAAATTAATGAATTGTCTACGCTGTACCAACAGTAGGAGTTCCCTCTCTGGGATTAAGTCTATCTGCTCAACCTTGAGGAAATCTGAAAAGCAACTCAGCCATCTTATGACTATTGCTTATGAAAAGTTGTCTGGGTCAGTGAGCTGTCACTGAGCCAAATGTTTTGATGCATTTTGGGTTCCATACCTCATTTCGTGAAATCTGGACCTGGAGCTCCTGGATGTTGCTGGTTGCTATTGGCTTGTCTTGGATCTCACGATGGGCACTCTCTATCATCTGCTGCAAATGTTTCATTTCTTGCTCATATTGCTCATACTGAACCACTGCTTCCTAGAGAAGGGAAAAAAAGATTGAGTGTCTACATGAAAATTAGTTTTCACTTAGTCTAAGCATGACAGATCTCCCTCCTGATGTATCTGGCACTCACATCTTGATAAACAAAGCAGGAGTATACTCAGGAAAATGTCTATTCATAAATATTGTGAATTGCAATTATTTGAATGGTTCCACTTATTTAAATATTTCCCAAACCCACAGAACATGACATTTTAGATTTCTGATGTAAGATGCTGTAACTTCTGATTCCAACAAGTACCTGAACCAAACAGACCCACAAGAACGTAGCCTTGCTTAGTCTCATGGTTTTATTACAAAGCATTTTCACCTGCTTTTTCACTTCAGGTGTTCATTTGTGACTGTAACAAAAGCTTAGATATTACAGAAAATACAACTGGGAGAGGACTATGAAGATTGATTCAGATAATTATCCTACCAATATAGTATCAGTTCTTTTATCATAGATGCATGAGCAGGTTGTCTAACCCATTTTTTAAATTTTCAGTGTGACATTGTAACCTTTCTTGTGTTTAAGCATCATTAATTATCCTTCATCATAAAAAGTCTCTTCTGTTGTCCAGCTTGAAACTTTGTAGTTGCACCCTAGCCTATGGAATATGCTATGTATATTCCTATCATTAAATAGCAGAGAAGAAAAGCTTATTCTCTTCTTTGAAAACACCTTTTATGTGTTTAATTAGAAGTCCAAACACTCAAACAAAATCTAGCTTGCTCATATTTAGCTTGAAAAACTTGAAAATACAAATTTAATAGACATTGAATGATTCCAAAATCAGAAAACAAATATATATAAACTATAAATAAAGAGAATAAAAATAATTATTTTTATACCACAAAGTTAATTAACTCGGTAGTTTTTATGCAATCTTCAGAAGCAGCTAATGCTATGTTATATTAATTCTATTAATTGATCATATAAAATTAACTTGCATAGAATTGTATATTAGCTGTTTGTCTAGGTAATCCTAACAGCATTACAGAAATCACAGCAGTATCGGGGAGAGAACTGAGGTGAGAGTCTGATGAGTATATCAACAATCAATATGTTGATTCATGTTGGTATCATGAATATTGAAGTCAGGAATAACTGAGACTCACTGGGGAAACTCCTAATGGTACTACAGAACAAAGGAATGCACAGAGATAGGAAATTCTGTTTTCATCACAACTTTTTATGTCTCTGTTCAAGCTCCTCTGAGTGGTTGATGGGATGGAGCTGCACTTGCCTGCATGATGTTGCACTGCTGAATGGCCGTGTGCTGCAGGCGGCTGGCCTCCTCCTGGAGCCGCAGGGCACTGTGGCACATGGGCAGGCTGGTCACCACCTCCTCAGGAATCCTCAGGGCACTCTGGCACTCCTGGACTGCCTGAACTTTTGGCTTCAGTGACTCCATTTCAGACAACAGATGCTAGAAACAAAGTCAGTGCCACAATAAACCGATTTTTCACAACTCCCAGAGCACTTCATGCAGCCAAAGAAAAATAATGGTACGTTTAGCAATAAAAGATAAATTTAATTTTCTATTTTCTAAATTGAATATAATTAGAAACACTTTCTCTTGAGTTGCTCATTGTGAAATGAGAATTCTTTTAAAGATTATTTAAGTGAAAAGCCCATAAACTAGATATAAAAATAATTAATGAAAAAGTATAGTACTACCTATTCTAAGTATCCAAGTAAAAAAGTATTTCTATTAATAGATTTGAGAAAACAGAATTACAAACTCCACAAATCGAAGCAGCACAAGAATAATTTACATATACACATATCTCAGTGTTAAAATCTGAGTGGAACTCCCCGCTGGGACATAGAAGCACATTTCCAAAACAGCACGTGTATCCCATTGTATTCACAACCTTAATTTGAAAATACAAGCCATGGCTGAAAATGTTGCTTAAAATTCAAAAGGCAATCAACAGAAAGAAACAGAGCTATACAGAAACATGTCCATTCAAGTTGTCTGTTCATATGCAGGGTCTAAATGTAATGGTTGGAGAATAGATTTGATCACCATTCTTTTTTATTTACATTGAGGAGTTTAGTGTATGTACAGATACAAAAAAAAGCAAAACAAAACAAAAAAAAAAAAAAAAAAAAGGAAAAGCCAGATTGATAAAATGGGCCTTAGCACAGTAGAAAAAGATTTTAGATTCAATAGATATAAATCAGCTGGACAATGAGGCAAACAGGGCTAAAGAATTTGGTTATCTCTCTTTCCCTATAGCACATGCAGAATGATAGCTAAGTGGGTCTGAAGTGCATACAGATGAGAGGATTGTGTTTTTTTATTTCTGCAGTTTCCTGACATATGGTGGATAATCTAACCAGAGTTTCGGTATAATGACCTATTCCTCAGGCAGCACAAGTGGGGCCTCTCTTCTGTCAGACTCCACACTGCTGGCAAAGGGTGTCTTTATTGTTCAATCAGCCCCCAGAAGCACCCTGGGGGGCTGTGAGCCAGCCAGGCGCTTTCCAACATCCCCTCTCTGGTCTGGTGAAACAGGTGGACAGGGGCCATAGTCCCTTTCTGTACAAAAGAAAGTTGTATTGTGAGATCTGCTAGAGCCAGGACAAAGAATGCACATAAAACCCAGTTCCTTTATTCTTATGGTGGGTTATGTGTTTCACTTACACTCTTCAAGGCCGCATTCTGAAATCTGTTCACAAAGCCCCAGGATAAAGACTGCCTATTTTAATGAAAAGGAAAAGCTGTGCAAATTTACCTTTCTTCCATATGTTTTTATGCAGATTTTAATCCTACAGTGAACCTGCTTACGTCCACTTTTCACTGGCAGTCTGAGACAGTTATTAGCTTGCAGAAGGAAACACGCCTTGAGAAACTCAGAAAGCTGTAACTTGCCTTATTTTTCCTGTTAAAAGGCTGAGACCAAAACTAACAAACAAGCCTCCAAAGCAGATGAAATGCAGTAGAGAAAGCCACAATATCTTACGGAGGTAATTCAGCTAAGCATACAAGAATGTAACAGCACTTAAGGAAACCTGAATTGTCTCCCAGTGCTCCAGATTCCTATTGGAGAAGCTAGCAACTATATCACTGCATCTCCATCTGTAAAACAATGATCACAATCAGACTTCCTTTTGAAGTACTTTAAGTACCTCTTGACCATAAGCACTATATAACAATTGGGCTTTATTACAATTATTCATAGGGATTAAATGGACTGGATGCACACTTCTCAGAACTGCATCGACCTAAGAACATGCTAATAAAGAATTATACTTCAGCTGCTCCCTCTGAGGGAATGATTCTTCTGCCTCCATCCCTTATTTCCTTGGCAGCAATTTGGGGCTGCACTCTGAAACAGTGACCCACCTAATAAACACAAAAATCAGTCTCATCAACACTCATTATCCTTTGTGTGACATCACACTACTAAAATGTTGACTTTGAGGTCCTGGTCTTTTACCTGTCTGTGAGAAAGCTGCTCTTTCAAGCTCAAATGCCCAAGCTCCGGAGACGTCAGCGTGGCTTGGGCTTGCTCCAAAGCACCCTGCAGGGCTCTCAGCTCAATTTCAAATTTCTTCATATCCTGTATGGATTTGATTCAGGGATGAATAAGAGGAAAACCAGAAATCACTACAAATATAAGTGTCTGGATTTTGCAGGTACATCCCCCTTACATACAGTGCAAAAAACAATTCATAGTTTTTACAGTTAATTTTAAATGTTTAAAATATTAGATAAAAGTACCAGTTACATGACAGTCTAGAAGAAGGGATTGCAAAGGCAGAGTTATTATTTTAAGTACTTCAATCTCAAATCCAGCATTTACTTTATAAAACTGAGAAAGATGTTCATTCTTTTCATTGCACTCCTTTGTAGAGGTAGGCCTTACACTATGGAATTCTGGTCTGGTCCAGTACTGATCTAAATTAATAAATAACAGCATTTAGATATCATTTAAGAGAAGAATAAAGGAAATAGTAGAAGGTGTCAACTTACCAAAATACACTTTTCAAGTATCTAAACATAGGTGCTCAGTGCTATTTGAGACACACCATTATCCCAAATATATCCACCCAGAAATTTATAACAGGACCTGCAGAAATCTTTTGCCCATGTGAGCTAGCATGTGAAGGCAGCATCTCAAACAGCACAAGATACCTGACTTTAGTCAACACAGTCACGCCCTGTGTAGACCACAGATTTTCCTCACTGCTAACAATCTTAGTAGTATGATGCATACATCACCCTAGATGCCAGCTAGCATTAGAAAAAACTGCTTTCATTTACCTTGGCAGCATCTTGGAGGTTTGGTAGCTGCACTTTGATAACTTGCTGCAATTCCTCTGTCCGCCTCCCCAGTTCCAGCACTTGCTGTGACATTCCTTCAGTGGAGTACACACTTGCCAGGTAATCAATCCTCTCACTCATGGCCTCAAGATCACTGTGAATCTCTCCAGACTCATCAAGAATGCTCTAGATGGAGATACAAGCAAATTGAACGTTTGAGGTTCAATTGAGGTTTGAGACCTCTCAGGTTTGAGACTCAATGACACGTATCTTTTAACTATATTGTTATGCAAACTCTTCAATCTGTACACATTTGTGAGCCTTTGATGAAGTTCCACTGACTTCCTGTAAGGCTTAGGCAATATGCTTAGCTCTGAAGGTCTGCTGAAGTGCTTCAGCTTATATAGACTGGGAAACAAAAAATTCAGTCATAAAGCTTCAGGAGCTGTACTTACCAAGACATTAATTTTAGTGTTTTGCTATACAGACTTGTATGTAAAAATATAATATATGCAATCTATGGAGAAGATGTGTCCTAATAGAAAGTGGCAGAAAGCACTTGGGTGTTTTACAGCAGGGCAGGAGCCATTAATGCTGCCTAAAAAAATCAGTGCCTAAGTACTATGTGGGATGGCATTGGTTAAGCCTGTATCACCAGATTTTGAAGCAGGGAAAAAGCCATAGCAAAACCAAACCAGAAATTCTGTCTCCAGTTTTCCTTAGAATAAATTGCCTGGAACCTCCTATTCAGAATACAAAGTCTGACATACTCCACTGCGCTAGCATACAAGAAGGCAGCTGACAATTAATTAACATATGTTTATTTTGGTATTAGTGACACATTATTATCTTATGATGCTTTGATTTCTTTCGCATGGTCGTGTAACACCAGGCAAGCTTGAACCTCATCAAAACATCCCACTGATCTCACACACACATTCCACACACAGACACACATAGAATAAATTGCACAATTACAGGGACCAAATTACTCTGATGTGAAATGTTCAGGAAGAGAGTGGAAGAAACTCTTCCATTAGGCATCAGTTTGAGAACATTTGGTATAAAACTCATTAGACGAGAACAAAGGTTATTCCAGTTTAACATAATGGAGAAAGAAAAAAAAATCCAAACTGAAAATCGTGTTTGATTAATTAAATCTTTAGAGTATGAACTGCAATAAGGTGCTTGGTGTGATAGAATCACAGTGTGCAGACACACTATTCAGCCAAAAGCCTCTTTGAAGCCAAACTACTTGAGTAACATGGAGATCAGCTTTGAATCACATTTTTATTCTACAACATATCTGTATTTCAGTTTTCACAACAATTGTCCAAAACCAATTAATAATTTTCAAGGCTTGGATAAAAAGTCAAAGAAATCTAGGACTTTAAGAGGAAGTAGAACTCTACTTTGCTTTGAAAATAACTTTTTATATATACACTGCCTTTTAAATTTCATAGCTCAAATAATCACCTGGTAGGCTTTAAACTGATCACGAAGCTGAGAGGAAGAATTCCATGTTATACTACCATGTACTAGGATATTTGCTTTCTCAATCCATCTCAATATGAACTCCAGCATCTCATTGTATTCTTCCAAGTGTGAAGCAGCCTGGATAAAAGAAAAATTTGCTTAAGCCTAAGATGTAATTTCGTACAGTACTTGGAGGATTAAAAAAACTGATTTTATTTCCTTCATTGTTTTAACCTGGGGACCATTTTAACAACTTTTCCTTCTGGTATTATATAAAACTTAATTTCTTATGTATTTATGCAGTTAAAATAGGTCTGTTTCCAGTAGTAAGATTATCTGTTTTGGGGGAAAAAAAAGGCACTATAAGAGCTTAGGTCACACTAGGAGAGTCCATTGATGCTCAAATATATCCCTAGAGGGTACACTCCCTGTGCATATTTCAGCCTCGCATATAAGTTCCAAAATACCTCCTCTTTCAATTTGTGGCTCTGTTTATTTTGAAATCTCTCTTTCCATTACATCCTCTTAATCACCTTTTTTATTTTCTAACTAGACTGTTTTGTCCACTTAGTCTGCCATATTTCCAAAAGAATGAAATGCTTCACAATTTCAAAATATAGGACCAAAGTTCTGCTTTCTTATTAATCCACTTTCTATTTAGCAAAGTAGTCATAAGCTCCAATTTTCTTTTCAGCAGGAATAATTTCATTGGTGTTCTTGAATTTCCTCCTTATAAAGGATGGATCAAATCTGAGGTGACCAAACTGTATTTGTATAAGCAGTTTTCAATATTTCAACTTTTTACGATAAGTGGATTTTTTGATGCTGAACAAAAATATCCTAAATCTGTTTACCAAGTACCTTTTACTGAGTTCTTACTTTGATAATAATTTTCTATCTCTTCTTAGAAACAAGTTTTCAGAGGAAGCTGAAAAGAGTATTTTGAAGTTTTCTTACAGAAGCAACTTCATGTGTGTAGAAAGATCTCATAATTTATCAGGGTATTAATGACAGAACCATAGAAAATCCATTTATTTGCTTTTAGCTAGAGTTTGCTGGGGATAAGAACAATTAAGGAAAAAACAGGAGAAAGAATGAATTTCAGAGACTTTTATCTGCAAGGGATGCATCTTTATGAACACCAACATATTGCATAAATATTGTGCATTATCAGGGCCATTGTATATAGACTTTTTTATTGAATGCATGTTATAGTCAACCTCTATGGATTGGGACTAGGGCAAAATATATTTTTTTAAACTTTTGTTCTTAATGCTGCAAATACAGGTAATAGTGACAAAACAGAGACCCTGAGAAGCACAGTGAGGTACTACTTCCAGGCAAGCTACTGTTTGTGAGATCTACAATCTTTTTAGGGCATCAAAGGAACCAAGCAGTAGGTGATGCATGCAAGAGGGTTTTAAAATACCATCTGAGAATTATTTCACCCTCATATTTGACCTGTGTCTCTTCGGAATGTGATGCAAGCTCTGACTAATAATAGGCAGATGTGCCAAGGAATGCCCTGTCTGGCATAACTCCAGGAAAATAGATGAGATTTTTGCATGCTCCTTCTGGTTCTGAAAGGAAACAGCAGAAAGGATTTAAGATCATACCTGACTGAGCTTGGCTGCTCTGTACTCAGCCTGCCGTATGGTCTGCTGGTGCAGTGCAGAGAGTTTCCCTATCCTGTTAGCTAGCTGCTTAGCCAGGGGTACGTTCTGCTCTGCAAAGTCCTGGACTGATGCATCTAATTCCAACAGCTTTATATTGCAGCTGTCCAACTCGTCACCAAGGATCTAGACAGAAAAACAATAAAATCAGCGATCCAGGAAGCATTAGCTTTTTGGTTGATTATTTCTAGTCCAACTTGCAACTTTTACACCCTGTCCAAAGTCTCCATAGTTTTTTCCATTTTTAAGCAGGAAAGCAGAACAGCAGGATGTTTGGTCATCTCTTAAGTATGTGCCATTACTCTTTCTCCTCTGGCTTCCTGGCTGGAATGGATAACCGTTTTCCCTGCTGTAGCCAAAGACTGAGTCACTTCAGTGTGACATTAACTGTTCTCAGGCACCTTTTGTTTCTGAAACGAATTGTCAGCACAGAGTGCCACAACAAGGATTTTTATTTATTGGAAAAGAGGTTTGTTTTATTGCTGAGTTAAAATATAAGTTTATAAACTCATAAAAGTGTAGTTACTCATTAATGGATTATGAAAAATGTAATTGTAATTTGAAACTTGCATTTTCATAGCATGATCTTGATGCAGGTGTTGATCTGAATGTGCTACACTGTTTCAACAGAAACACAGTTTAAAATCAATTTTTCTTACCATAGTCATAAATATTTTGAGAAGGAAGCCTAAAAAGATTTTCAGGTTTCTTATAGATTTATAGCATATTCTTGGGCTACAGTTTCTTGAGAAGATGTTACTGATTATTTTTGAATTTGTTTTTTTTTATATCCAAGGTGCTAAAAATTAATTGTTTTTCTAAAGTAAATAAAATAAGTCACATGGAATCATGGAACAGGTTAGGCTGGAAGGGACCACAGTGGATCATCTGGTCCAAATTCCCTGCTCAAGCAGGGTCACCTTAGGGCACATGGCACAGGATTGTGTCCAGATGGTTCTTGCATATCTACAGTGAGGGATACTCCACGCCCTCTCTGGACAACCTGTTCCAATGCTCTGTCACCCACACAGTTAAGAATTTCTTCCTCATGTTCAGATGGAACTTCCTGTGCATCAGTTTCTGTCCATTGACTCTTGCCTACTGCTTACACAAACACCCTAGCCTCTCTCCAATTATTTCTACAAATTTAAACTGCAATCATTCAGAACACTGCTTGCTACAGGTGCTTCAAGAAGTTACTTCAAGCTCTTCAAGTTAGGGCTGTCCTGGCAGACACACCTCAGAGTGCAAGTTATGATCAATTGTTATGATAAATCAGTATTATTCCATGAACTTGGAGACATAACTGTCTACATGTAGACACAAAGACAGATGTTAAACCACCCATCTAAATACAAAGACATACATATTACAGCAAGCATATATAAACATATTTACTACAGATATTATGCAGAATTTATATGTTTGTGAAGGAAGGATCCATTTGACTTGATTCACATGGATTTGAAACAGATTTTTATTTTATTTTTTTACAATCTGTTTCAATGTTAACGTGAAAATATTTACTGCTATAACCAAAGCCAACCCAGTCTCAAGAATATCAGCTAAATGCTGGCATAAAAGCACTTTGAACATTACTACATCTCCAGTGACAGTTTTCATTTATGCAACATAAGAAAGCAGATTTCAGTGCCCTTCTGCCTTCTTACTGAAATCAAGGAGATATACCAGGGATACAGTTCAGTGACGCTTCCTGCAAAGCAAACAGTATATTGGAACATCTTGAGCATCTCATGAAAATAAACAGGTAATTTATGACATACCAGTCATGAAAAATTTTCTCCTATTTTGTATGCTTTGTGCAATTTCAGACAGTAATTCAGTCAAGTTTATATTTTCCTAGTTAAAATAACAAACCAACAACAAAAAAAACCCCCAAATCCTCAGCCAACCCCTTTTCCATCTCTCCTCTCCCCAGAATCCCTTACTCTCATATGACAATCCTAATTTGTCCACTACACTTCAGTACAGATGATTTTTTCTGAGTCTGGCACATACCTAAGATTAAGAAAACCTTCAAAAAGAACCGAGAGTTCTTTGCACTACCCTTATTTGCATGAGTAATACTTTACTTCATCGTTGAACCAAATAATGTGAGATGGGCTGCAAGTAAAATTCTATTGATTTATTTATCATAAATAATGATATTTTCAGTACAGATGAAAACAAGGAGCAGTTTGAAGGTTCCTCAGGCTTTCCCAGATTGGAGTTATACTCAATATTTAAAGGAACCATGTCTTTGTCCATCTGACTTTAACACTCAGCTGCTTCCTCCAAATACTATTACCTGTGTGCATCAGTTTGCAAAAAACATAGTTTTAAAAATCTCATCAGGTAACCATCATTTCTGTATAATTCTTCTGCTGAACTAATTAAAAAAAATGTGTCCTGCCAGTCATCACAAACAACACTTGGGTGATGAAGTGAGTGTCCCAGTTCAGAAAAATTTATGGCACAACCACATAAGGAAAGCCTTATCTTACCTTTTGCTCAAGTTTAGCTTGTGCTATATCATTTGTTTTCTTTTTCAGTTTGGAAAGAATGGTATTTAGTTCATTTGCTATCCCCTGGATTTTCTGATCAAACTCTTGATTCAGTGTTTTGATTTGCTGAGTTTCTCTTTCTTTGGTTTGAATCTGTCAACAGTAAGAATTAAATTTAATAATCAGAAATCACTCCTCCTTAAAGGAAATTAACTTTCATTTAACTTGAATTCAAAGGATGAAGGTCCTAAAACTATTCTGTGTTGCCAGTTTGGCAACAGCAGGATACCTGCTGTTATAAAGTTATAAAGCCTGAAGAAGGGCCATAGATCTGTTACACACTCATCTACTGCACTTTACCTGATCCTGTACAGTTACAAGGGCCAGTCCAACTTCTGCTAAATGAAGAGAGAGTTCAGAAGGCAAAATGGTATAAAGCCCCAAGTATTTATTCTGTTGTTGTTCAGCCAGTTTTTCAACAGCCTGGCGATGTGTAGCGACTTCACCGAAGAGCGACTAATGACAGAAGAAACAGTATTGTTAAGAACAATGAGAATACATGTTAAGTATCTTTAAAATAAAATATCACAGTCCATATTCTACTTCATGCTTTATGAATTTGTCTAGTGGGTTAATAAAAAAACTCATGAATATTGTCTAATTTGAATTTGTGGTGATCTTGAAACTATTAACATTCACTAGCAGATTAAAATGAAGATAAATATCATGATGTAGAAGTTGACAAATTTGGTATACCTGCAGCTCCTGAAGTTGAATATCCACTTCAGCATCAGGACTTAATAAATATTCTTTTGTTTCCTGGATCCAGGACTTCACAATATTAATCTCTGCTTCAACCTCCTCACGCTCCTTCAGCTCCTGTTTCACCATCTTCATGCCCTTTTTAACTTTCTGTTGCATACTTCAGAAAGAAACAATAACTATTTGTGAAGATTTAAGCAATGTCTAGAAACACTGCTTTGTCAAAAAATACTAAACAATAAAGATAATGATTAAGAGCACCACATCCAGAAAAATAAATTAATTTTTTCATGTCCATTCTTTGGTTTTATGTGTTTGGACTTCAAACATGCAATTAATTTGAAAAAATGTAAATATATACAATAGAGATCCCTATATCTGAGCTCATCACCACAGACTGCCCTGATTGTCAGTAGAGGAAAAAGGCAATTGCAAGGCATGAATGAGGATTATTCATTGCCATTCCAAAAGAAACTTCTAAAATAGGTCAGAAAAACTGTATCTTACACTTGTTTATTTCTCTACACTAATTAGAGAGCGAGACTGATATTGATATCTAGAATGTAAAATAACATGAGATAAATTCCACTCCTATTGATGGGATTTGCATTGGCAGAACACTTAGGATAAATTAAAGATCAAGCATCTGAACATGGCCCCTATTTCCACACTTCCACTAAGACAGAATTTTTGCACTTTCCTCAGGAACTTGGATCTCCTGTAAAAAATGACACCTCTGTGAGAGTTCTATTGGACTACTTGTAACTCTTATACATGTGACAGGGATCTTTGATATTCCCATACTTCATTTATGCTTGCATAACCTTGCACAGGTGAATCATGGCTTATTTTCATGAGAAGGAGATATCTATATCTTAGAAACCAATTTTAAGTAAATGAAAAATGGAATTGTGAAAGTACTTATATCTACACATTTTCTACAGAGATTGCTGTTCTACTATAATTATTTATACATACACACAATAAAATTTGCACAGGCTTGATGCAGGGTTTACAGTTTTGTAATTCTTCATTTCTCTTTGTCTTCCCACCATGGAGGTCCACTTAATGGTATCTTAGTGTAGTAATGAGGTTGATATCTGATGGTGTCTTAAAACTTAACATAAAACTTCCTGTTTTCTACATGACAGGAAAATGTTTTAGATTTAGATAAACACTTGCATAGCATTGAGGTGAAAAGTTATGTTTTGTTTGCATATGCTCTACATTCCCTTGTAAATGTCATACAGGACCTACTTTTGGCACCTAAGTGCTTCAAACAAGGGAAACAAAGTGATAAACTAATAAAAAGAGGGTACAAAAAGATAAATGATCACTGTTAATGTGAGAAGCAGTGGAAGTGTTTAAAATTAGTTATAACTTTAATGCAGTTTGTGCAGCTTTTATGTAATATTATTATGCAAGACAAGATATACATATTCTAAAATGCATACTCTTTCTGATGGAAATAAAAAATAATCACAAAAAAAGGTGTTTCAAAATTAATTCAAAGTAATTTTAAATTAAAACTGATGCTTATTTAAAAATAACAGCTAATATTTATTTAGGCATGTTAATTATTAATGATATAAAAATGATATAAGCTCTTAATAATGAACTGCTAGGTACCATTTTTCTGGTGAACCTTTCAAAATATTTCCTTACTTGTGGCATCGATCTTGCATTGCTTTGATTTCTTGCATAACTGGTAGTTCCTTCTGAGATGGAGTCTTTACTTCCACATCCTGAAGCATGCTAACAGCATGCTGTTTGAGCAGGCCCAAAGATGATAGCTGGTGGTCCACCTCTAGCAGGAAACTGCCGTGGTAATCCAGGAGTTCCAGGAGCTCTGTCTTGGATGCCTTTTCCACTGAGCTTTCTGGTAAGCGACCCTGTAGCTGATCTATGGCTGTGGTGGCTTTCTGAATCTGGAAAGAGATGCAGTCTTGTTAATAATAAAATTACAAAAGAAGCAAGTAACACCGAAAGGTGCTAGACCCAGTGCTGTACATTTAGATTCTATAAAACTGTTGTGGTACAGGGTTTGTCCTTTACTGTGCCAAGTCCTTTGCTCTTCACAGGGGATTAGGACTTGCTAAGGGATTTTTTTGTCTAGTTACGGGTGTCTTCTTATAATCTTTAGCATTTATTATATTTATTACCATAGGAACTACAGCTCTACCCTGGGGCACACCCATATTTGGCACAAGTCATGCATTTAACAAAATTATTATCCTCGTTCTTAGAGAACCTGCTATCTGGGCATAAATAATGGACAATGACAGATAAAACGAGTCAGGTAGGATATAAGGGAAAAAAAACCCATATGATCAATGAGCAGTGACAGGCATTATTATCACTTCTTGCACTTAAAAGGAGCAACTACATGTTCTTCAGGAAAAAGAAAAAAGAAGAAAAAAGAAAGAGAGAAGAAAGAGAGAAGAAAGAGAAGAAAGAAAAAAAAAAGAGGTTAACATAATTGAGAACATCTGAGAAGTAAAAGGAGAAGGATCTTAAGAAGCACCAGAAATCTACTGTTACTATACATGTATGCATAGAGAAGAACTGTCCAAACTTTGGAGGCAACGATTCGAAACCTGGATCTTTCATAGCTGTGTTTTTCTGATCTGAGGGAAAAAATCAGTGATTTTTGCTATCAGTTTTTCCTACCTCAAGATGATTAATAAGGCAGCATAATGAAGAAAAATCTATTTTTCCTCAAGGGAGGAGTTACCAAGACTAGAATTTACCTTATCATTAAAACCCTTCCATTCCTGCAGTGCATCTTCTAAAATTTTCTCTTGTTCCTGGGCAACATTTCGGAGCCGTGTCCAGCGCTGCCAAACTGTTGTCATGGATCTACTTATTGATGCCTTACTGGCATCATTGCTGATTTTTTCCAGCTGCAAAGCCTTCTCTTCTAGGGCTGTGATCTTCTCGTGGAAAGAATTCACTACGGACACAAGCGTCTGAAAAAGCAAAAATAAGCACTGTTTTCCTTTTCCACAAGACTACTCATTAGTATTCAACATGTAGGTAGGTGAACCACCTCCATCCACTGCAGATGAGGAGGAGGTATTGTATTTTGAATGAGGTAGCTAGGTCTCACTTTATTTCTCATAGGCAGTCATTAGCTACAGCTGCTTGGTCCAAAATACAAGCTTCTGGAAGCAGCAGAAATCTGGTGTAATCAGCTTTTCTCTTGCTTGATAGTCCCTCAAAAGGGATGAAAATAAGCATTCAGGGTCCTTCTTATAGCTATGACTGGCTTGTAAACAGTCTAAAAATGAAAGAAGCAATTCAGGTGCTTATGCATGTTTATGTCAGGTTATGTATGTCCTGTTCATCTTTAACAACATTTTAAATACCCAAGGATCATGGGCAGACATGACATTACTTTTAGGGGAGATTCTTGATATCACAAGACACAGCTGGCAGCATGTCTGAAGTGTCACTGTCTATATTAAAGCAACTGACTAGTACCCTAAAAACAAGAAAGCTTTTTTTAGGCTATATTTCTTGCTTTTAGACTAAGTAATAGTTAATATTAAACTCCAACTCTTCCTGTCCTAGTAAAACTGTTCCATGATCAAAAGTAGATGGATGTTTCTATTGATCTGAGTTGCTTGAAGGGTACATAATTTTGGGGCTTGGAGACCCACAGCTTTTAGGAACCTCCTGACTCTCTGCACTTCTCCACAGCCATAGGCACATAGACAGACAATAAGCTGAAAAGTGATTAAAGATATCTGTCTCCATTGCTCCACAAATAAAATGTGTGTTTTGCACAGAACTAAACATGTCTTGGTGCATTATGACACAGTTAAGTGCTACAGGTAAAGATACAAAAACTCAAATTCATGTTACCACAGGTAGGGATCTACACATTATACATTCATTTTCACTTAAAAGAGAAGGATTTAATGCAATTATCAGGACCTTACCTTATGTGTTAGCAATTTCTCTTCTGCTTCATGAGAAGAAGCAGCTTTAGCTACTGAGAATTCAGATAATTTTTTCTCAGCATCATTCATCACTTCAATAACCTTCTGTCTTGATGTCTGGTACTCCAGCCACTCAGAAGCACACCTTAAACAAATACAGTTTCAGAAAGAACAACTTGATGCTATATAAAAACATTTGAAAATCAGATATACTATTGTACCTAGTTTTCAATGCAACAGCTTGGTTCTGCTGTTACACAGTATTTTTCAAGAAAAAGAAAGATTATTGGGAAACAGCATAGATAGAAGCATATGGTCCTGGTTTTCAGCTATGCCTTACAGGAAACACAGCTGGGCATTTAATAGCCCTTATCTGACTTTTCCTCAGAGATTGCCCATGTTGTGGTTTAAACCTACCCAAACTTACAGAATTCAGTAGTTATGCTTGTTAAAAAGGTACTTCCTTTTAGTTCAAAATGTCTGCTTCAATTTAATTTGTTTGTGCATACATCTTGTGTCAGGTGAAATAAAGAACAATTATTCCCTACTCTTCTTCTCTGTGTGGTTCCAGGCTTAACATAATTCTACCAGAGCATTTTTAAGATCACACAACTAGTCAGTCAAGGACAGAAAAGAAAGCAGAATCCAAGAGCACTGAATACTCAATATCCACTTCTCTCAAAAGCAGAACAAATATTTAAAAACTTCAATTAATGTTCTGTTTCTTTATTTCATTACCAATAAGATGATCGTAAAATGAAAGAATTAAAAAAAAATAAAGAATATACCTTTGTAATTGCTCTTGCTGGGTTTTAGCTTCTTGCTCTGTCACTTTAGCCTTTTCCTCCAATGCAGCTACATTCTGCACCAGCTGTTCACTTGCTGTGGCTTGTAAAAAGGGCTCTATCTCAGACACAAGGCCTTGTAACACTTTCAAATTATCATTAAACTGACTTTCTGTGATGAAAAATTCAACATGGTTCCTTAGATTATCCTCAGAGTTCTCAACATCTAGACCACTTCTTGCTAATTGTAGAAATTCCTGAGCATCTTCCAGCCAGTCATTTGCTATCTGCATCACTTGGTAGTACCTTTGGCAGAGGCCATATGCTTTATTCAAGGTAGCCTGAAATAAAAGGGAGAGTCACAAACATAAAATCACAGTAACCTGTGTAATTTAAAAAACAGTAGGGTTACTAAACAGAGTCTTTCTTTGATGATTGTAAAGATAAAGCCACAGAGCTGTCTTTTTCAGCTTTGTGACCAAGAAACTAATGATGGTTCGGACGAACTAACCTGTCTCACATGTATAGCTTCTTGAACTTCACCATCCAGTTCTGCCAGCTCAGCAAGAGTGTTTTCCAGGTCAGCAGGTATCAGCTCCTTTGCTTTCATATAGCGCTCCTTCTCTTTATTGCTCAGTGCATTCATTATTCTGAGGCTCGACTGGACTTCCTCTTGATGGATCTGAACCTTTCGGATTTCTTCTTGGATGTTTTGCAGTTTGAGGTCCAAACTTAATGTTCCATTAAGTTCTGTTTTCACCCACCTCAACCAGTCAAGTGAGCGGCAGATCTCTGTCTTGAAGTCAATGCTCTGCACAAGTCTGCTCTCACACTCCATCACCGTGTCAACAATGGCAGAATGCAAAGACTTCAGCTTCTCTTGCCAAGCCTGAACTTGGTGGTTTGTTGTCTCATATGCAGATGGGTCAACCTGAGGAGAAAGGGTTTCTAGATGTTCAGTTATTCGCTTCAGAAGACTGCCTGAGTCTTGCAAGCTGCCCACCAGAGAGTGGTATATTTTCAACTTTTCTTCTATTGGGAGAGTTTCTTCATTCACCTTAACCTGCTCCTTTTTCACTGTCTCTAGCTGTGCCTCAAACTGCATACACATCTTCTCATGCTCCTGGCATGCTTCTATTGTGTCCTCCAACAGGTTAATTTTCTGTTCTATTTGCCTCTTCAACTTGTGATATAGTGTGGCAAGTTTTAACATCTCATCTGGCTGCCAGGGCTGGCCAGTGCTTCGAAAAGCTTCCTTCTTCTGGTTCAGTTCATCCACTGCTGCAGCAAGGCTCATGGCTTCACCTAAGAGATCTCTGTAGGCTTGCTGGAGTGACACAGCTTCTTTGGCTGAGACAGCAGCTGGAGCTTTGTCCATGTTAATAAACTGGTCTTCTAGCTCAGTCAGAGCTTTACTCGTCAACTCGATCAAAGAGGCATACTCTTTTCTGGCATAAATTGCTTCCTGAACCTTATATAGTTTTTCTTTTGCCAGAGCAGTGACAATATTGAATTGCTGAGGGAGGCTGTTAAGTTTTTCATCTAGATAAGAATGATCCACTTCATTAAGCGATGGTAGGATTTCTTGGCCATCTCTTTGCAGTGTAAGTAGCAGATTTTCATATTCTGGAGATTGCTCAAGAATCTGTTGATATTTTGCCAATTGGCTGTGTAACTCAGTGTTAGAATTCATTACATTGACTTCTGGGAATGTGACAATATCAGCTTGTTTTAGCCAATGGCAAACTTTATCCAAGTCTTCTTTGAAATATTTCCTGGAAACAATATTTTTCTCCAGTTCTAACAACCTCTGGTTACACTTCTGTAAAACAGTATCGTACACATTCTGTAGTTCTTGCAGCTTACCTAACACCTCTCTCTTCTCTTGATTTGTTGCTTCTTTCATTAAATCCCTTCCTTGAGCCCACAACCCTGTGACCTCATTTTGATAGGCCTTCAGATTAGCCTGGGTATTCTTACAAGTCCTGACCTGTTTATTCACATCTTCTGGCAAAAGACAAATGTGTTCTGGAAACATCACCTTCTTTTCATGCTGATGAATTTGGTTTGTAGCCTCAAAGACTGCCATGAGAAATTGGGTCTTTTCAGACAGTGCTTTATTCAGGTGTTTTCTCCTCTGGCCAACCAGATCGCTGAGACAAGCTACGTGGTGCTGTGCATCAGACACTGTTTTCTGCAGTTCTTGCCTTTCATTGAGCCCTAGGTTGGTCATCACCCTGTCAGCATCCTTCACAAGCATCTTCAGAAGCAGCTGTTTGGCTTCAAGCTCACTGCAAATGGTAAGATGATCCATGAGAAGAGTCTGAGCCATATCTGGAGGAGGGCTCTGTTTAAGAGCCTCCGAGACACTAGGTTGCTGTTCCTCTGCCCATTCCATTAGTTCCTGAAATTTGGAATGCACCAAGCTGAGCTCTTCTAAGGTTGAAACAGAAACTTGAATTTTCCGTTTGACAAGGTCCTCCAGCTGAGTCCAGCGCTGTTCAAAGTGACTGAATTGCTCCTTTACTAATTCTTTATCATCAAGATTCAAATGTTCTATCATCTTCTGCTTCTGATCTTTCAAATCTTCCAGAGCAAATCTCCTTTCCTGTAGTGCAACTGCCAGTTTTTGCAAAGCTTCAAGGTGCACATTTGTACTTTCAGCATCAGATCTGTTATCAAAAAGGACAGGACAAAAATGAGTTATTAGATCCTATTTCAGTACAGGCTTTTAAAAGAAGTCAGGATTAATTATAAGCCATACTGAAATCAATGTGATGTAAAGACCTACAGTTTTCAGATTCACTTGAAGGTAGCAGCCTTGAACACTAATTTAAAAACTTCACAAATTTATTCCCTTTCATCTTCATCTTTGGTCATCAGGCTGACCAAACACATTTACATGAATACAGACCACACTGACTGTATAGCACATATGAACAACAGCAGGTTTTGAGGTTGAAGTGAATCTTGTTCCATGACAGTGACAGGAACAGCAATACACTCCCAATTCTATTCACAGCTGGTACGCCTATCCTATGCAAAGCAGCTGCAAATATTTAGGACTAGTTATTAAGCTTTAATATAATAGTCTAACAGATGTAACACCGTATCACAATGAAAATGAACCAGTGAATGAGCCAGGAATTCATGAACCACCACAAATGAAGGGGTTCAAATGAAATAGGCAACCTTCTTGAAACATCAGGAAATGCTATACCCTGAGACAGGATCAATCAGTACTTGCCTTAAACACTGAAGATCTGGCATCTCAAATGCTCTTTATCTCAACAGAAATGATTAATTGCCTGATAATTAATAAGGGACGTGTGCTTTTAATTAAGCATGCAAAAAAGGGATTTTTAACAGCTCCCACTTAAAGACACTCTGTAAGCAGCACTTTCAGCATATATGCACAGTTTGCTTTGTGGATGTGACTCCTTTTTTACCTAGCAAGGTTGTCCCACTCTTTAGTGAGCTTTTCCAGGAAAACTTCAACGACATTCATGCGATCATGGTAATCCCTTGTCCTCTGCAGATCCTCCTCCCTCTGCATGAGCAAACTATGTGCCTGAAGGCAGAGGTCCAGCCACTGGTTGCTCAGCTCTCCTATTTCCTTGTGTTCAGGTGATTCCTGCCCTTGGGTTAGTTTGTTCATCTTCTCAGTCACAGAGGTGAGATCTGACTGCTTAGACTGCAACTTCTGACTGAATTCCTGAAAAAGATACAAGTTGAACCCAATATAATAACATGCATTCAAAATTACAAAATGAAATTTAAATAAAAGCTCTGAAATAAATAAATTGCATATAGACAAATTATATATATTATATATAATTATTAATATATAATATTAGACTGCCCAGGACAATGCTCTGCCAATGTAAATTGGAAGAAGTGTTTTCACTTCTCTCCAAACCCTCCTCCCCATCTTCTCACATAAAGACAAGTTTGTAATAGACGCTAAAGCAAACCAGAGGAGTTTCCAAGTGCCAGTGATAAACAGAATTCATGATTCACATCCTGTTGTCCAGGCTTCTGGACTAGCACAGCTCCCACCATACACTAAAACATGCAAGGTAGTCTTGAATCTCACAAGAATAATTTATTTTCCCAGTACTAAGTCATTTTCTTCCTTTTTCATTAGAGACTAAAAATAGGAAGCAGAATCCATGAGTCAGTGAGCCTCCATATCCATACTCTGTATTGTTCCTACTTCTGTAACAGCAACTGTTACCACTGTCATTATTGAAACAAAACCATGGATTACCTAGGTATGATTGCTATCTGATCTAATAATTAGTAACTAAAAGAGTTCATCTGCATACACCTCCTACCAAATAAGAAGTCAGAGAACCCAAAAAGAATACACAATATACAGACAACTAAAACTAAACAAATATTTTTTCAGTCCTTAAACACTAAGATAATCTTTTCCTAACTAGTTCCAGTTACTATAACTAAACAAGCATGCCCATGTCCAGCTCTGCCTCATTCCTCTTCATGATGGCTTCAAATGGAGCTAGGTATATTCCTTTACCAGGGAAAATTTTTAGAAAAAACACACCTTGTGCCACATCTAACAGTACAGCAGGTGTCTCCCTTTCATTATAATCCAAAGCTATTGACTGAAAGAGTAAAGAAATAGAGACTCCCTCTTCTTCCTGGACTCTAACGATAGCTGGTATAACAGCTTTCAGTCCAAATTGTGCTGAGGCATCTTCAAAGGCTTTGACTTTGTTCCAAAGTGTGAGTAGAAGAGACGTGGAGAGGAAGTAATGTTTACTTTTCACCTAACTCTTGACACATCAGAAAAAAGAACAGAAGCAAAGTCTAGAACAAAAATGCAAACCCCACATATTTAATAATTTGTTGAAGAAATTAGCTTTTTGTTAAGTTACTGGTTATGATGTGTACAGAATGGTCATAAAATGTCTCTTTTCTGGAATGAATGAGAGAAGATATGAAGGCATTTTTCTCATTAATTAAATTGTGTTTCTGTCACGCCTCTTCTTAGAGATCCACATCATCAGATAGTTTTGTTGACGAATTTTGAAATACTTCTAAACTATTTAGAAGTATAGAAATCAAATAATTTAGCAAACACAGTTTGCATATCTTCAGGTCCACTGTGATCAGCATTTAGTCTACTCTAAAAGCAAAGGCAAATCAGATAGTAGGCTGAAAGTTGTCTATTATTAAAAAAAAAAACAACTAAGCTAGAAAAATACTAAAGTATTTCTGCTCTCTGAATCACCCTGCAGCATCAGCAAGGAAACACTCTTTCCTCTATCTCCTCTGCTCTTGCTTAGAGCATATTAGCCATTGAATGCAGTATGTGCATACAATATAAATCATAAAATACTATCAGCCACAGGATGAACTTCTTCCTTACCTTCTGTTCTTAACCCCAAGTTTCCTTACCTTAACCTGGAGTACCATATTCTGGGCAATATTTAGCTCCAACTCTGCCCGTCTCCTTTTTAAATTCTGCAGTTGCTGATCTGCATCCTGGAAATAGATCCAGAGCTCAGCCTTCAGTTGTTTGATCTCTTCCCAGCCTTGAGACAAATACTGTGAGTGCATTATCTGTTGCTCAATCTAGAAGAAAAGAAATGAAAAGGAGTAGGAATGCTTTAATGCATCTATTTTTGGAGAATGGAGGATGAATACCATTCTTCCTCTGAGCACAGTACTGTACTAAAGCAATTTCTGCACCAGATTCTGAAGGGGCTAATATTATCCACAAAAAGAGTCTTAACCTTCAAAAGTCACAAATATTGTACCTATCAAAGGAAATCTGTCTAACAACAAAAAAACAACAACAAAATAAATTAATTATCATTCACCGTTGAGAGAAGCAACTAAGTTTGTAAGTGGTTGTATTTCAATGTTCTCTGTCTTCTGTTAAAGCTTAAATTAATTGTATAATTTAGTCTACTGCATGACAAGAATATTGTTAGAGTGTACCCTACATAAAAGTTTCAACTAAACACTTCCATTTAATTTGCTTAGCCCAGTTATTTTGCCTATATGCCTCTTCTAAAATGCCAGTAAGAAGAATGCTTACCAGACCTGAGCCCATCAATCCTCTTACACCAATAGTGACACAGCTGCTTTTGCTCTAAATACAGCAGTCTGGTGCCTTTAAGATTTAGACACTCAACCAGCTTAGTACTCAGCACTATACCATCTGTGATTTCTTAAAAACATTTCACTGCTTTGTATGTCAAAGGAGAATCTTATTCTGATTGTTGGGATGTTTTTCAGCCATTCTTGGACTTACATATTTTTATGGGTTATTTGGATTTGTACAATTCCCTTCTCTGGTATGGAATACTGTTACTGTATGTATTAGATTTCTACTCTTGTTAGAAGTAGTTTCAAAACCTTGGTTGTGTGTCTGTGTAAGAGAGACTAAATTTTTCATGTTTACAACAAGAGGAATGTTTATAATTCTTCTTTTCCAATAACTTAAGTTTATAGGTCTATTTTAAACCTAAGCATTAAGTGACTTGAAAATTTAAAGTTGAGGAACACTTCTATAAATTAATATGCTGAAATAAATGCACTTTGAGTCATGAACTGAATCATCATGATTTTTATTTTTGTGATGATTATTGTATTATTAATCTCTTAACATAGGCCAATATGAACATCAGTCTATTGTTGGATAAATAATAACAATAAGATATGTCTCAGATTTAGTAAAACACAAAGAAGATTAGACTGAATTGTGTTTTTTTAAAATATAACTTGAATCAGGTTTTCTTCCACAGAATAATATTTCTGTAGCTGTAGATCAACATCTTGTAACATTGCCTAAGTACCTTTTGCTACCTTAGTTGCATATCTTTTTATTAGTACCAGGATGGCAATGTATGGATTTAATAATTAAAAAAAAAAAAGCAGCAGAAAGAGAAAACTATTTAACTATCTCTACAGAAATACTTAAGATGAAAGTAAGATGACATTTCTTTAAACCATTACCCAATGTGACCTTTCAAAAGGGAACAGATCAAGGCAGAATTAAAGCTCTAAATAGGATTAAAAGTGGGTTGTTGTGGTTATCTTGTACCGTTTGTTTTGTTTGTTGAATATCTGCTGCTGTACTCTTCACTGTGGCGTCTGACAGATCACACATGGAGCACAGAAGATCCAAGTATGTATTGGCCTGCTCCTGCAGAGCCCGGAAATGTTTAACCTGAGGGAAGACAACTCAGAAATGAACCCTGAGACAGTGGAAATAATATCTTGTCCTATTACAATCATACATTTTAGTATTTTTACTTTGCCTTCTTATTTTTTTTTTCCATAAAATTAAATGTAGAAATACATTCTTTTTTTAGGTAAGGTTGCTATGTTATAATTACAGAAAGGAATAATCCTTAAAAACTTGATTATTATCCAATTACCAAAGCACCTGGAGACATATGAAGTAGCTAGCTTATTTCTTGGATAGAAACACACATTCTCAGCACAGGGACAGAATTTCCCAATATGAATGGGAACCAGAGCTTTATGGGATTATCAATGTGTCCTTTTAAAATTTTCCAGTGTCTGAAAGATCATGAGAAATTCATGTTAGTGGCACTTAGGTGCTGGTCTCACTGTCTCAACCTGCTTCCCCTGCCCTTGTAGTATTTCTGCCATCTATAATATTTCAAGGTCTCTATTAAGTGAGAAAATGGATGAGACAGCTCTGAATTCCAGCATTTTTAGCACCTTACCAGTTAAATTTAAAACCATGTTACAAATCCAATGTAAAATGCTTTGTCACTAAGAATAATCAAGATGAAAAATGAAAGAATTCTTCAATGAGGGCTACAGGCAGTTCTATGCTCTTAGACTGAAAAATTGTTTTAATTGCCTGATAACTGACTCTGTGTCCATGGGAGTGTGAAAATAGGTCTCATAAAGAACTCAGCAGACAGATGGGCAACTGGTTAAGCAGAAAGACACAACCCTTCTGCTAAACACATCTATGGAATATCTGAGCAGATTTATCTAACCAGCCAACATTTTTCAGGCAATATGTTTCTAAGCATTAAGCAGAGCTAGCAAAAGCCCTCTGATTTTTCATCTAAAGTTATTTTACATTCCAGGCATTCCTTTTGGGCTTGGGAATGAACATTAAGGCTACACATCTTTCTGAGAAGGGTAGAAAATACATAATTTCTAGAAATTTAAATCTCTTATCTGAACTCACCTTGTTAAGAATAACTGAGCTTTTCCAAGTGCTAAACTTTTACCTGTTTAACTGCATCTGCCAGGCTGAAAGGTGTCCAAGTAGGTGGCTTTAGCTCTGACTGCACTGTAGACAGCCAAGTCTGGCACTGTTGAAGAGTATCCTGATGATTAACATGCTTCTGGAGCTCATGTTCCAAAGTCTGGTACACCTAAACAAAACATTTTGTAAGTTTATCACATTTTCAAATACCACCACTGTATCTCTTTTCCTACCTTGAAAACTGCTGATAGAACAGAATTATTAAGACTTTGATTATTTTAGCCCTTGTACATAAAAGTACCAAGGGCTGAAAGCTCCTTAAACTCTCTCTGCACACTGCTAACATGTGAAGAAGACGGACAACATTTAATGCACAGCTTCTGGAAAGAAAAAATAGAGATGCAAATGAAGAGTATGCTCTCTTTCTTCTGTATCCATCATTTTTGCATTGACTTTGTATGAGATTATTTTTGTTTATTTTTGGGTTGTTTTGTTTAGGGTTTTTGGAGTTTTGTTAGTTTTTGTTTTTTTTGACAGCTAGCTTGATCTCCTAATTGGGTTAACAGAATGACCCAGCTGGCCCCTCTTAACTGCATATTCTGGTTTTAATAAGGGAGACAGTACTTCCTAGCACATACTTGAGACCTGTTTATGTATGGATGCAAACTAACAACACTAGGACTGCGATTTTCTCCCTAGCTTTTGAAGTAGAAAAGGTCTAATTTTTTTTTGCTGCAGCTGCTCTAAAGTTAGTGTAACATGAAGGTAGTGAGCATGTGGAAAGATAAAGGTAAGAACTGGTAGGCCACTACTTTTGCTGGTTGCAAGAGGTTTGGATCACAAAGAAATTCAACTGTAGCACAGGAATGATGAAGTGCTCAGTAACCTGTAGGCTCAATTGAAATGAAAACAATAGGAAGAGTTATATACCATTTAAAGAAATAATTCACAGAAATAATAGTGAACTTTATTTTAAAAGTCATTAAAAAAATAATTTTGAAACAAGACAAGACTTACTCTTTGGGCTGTGCTACATATGGCAGAATAGCTGTCCCTCGTGCCCTGAAGATGGCTTTGTATATTTTGCTTAAATTTTGCTTGAAGATGTTCCGAGCATTGACTGATCAGGTAATCACCTTTACTCTTGAGGTTGTTCAAACGATCTTCAAATCCAGCAATTTCTTCCATGATAGCCTAAGAAACAGATGAAATACTTTTGAAGATTCCCACTGTGGTACAGAATGTTTTTTCTCCCACCTTTAAACACTTTTCATCTTCAGATTTGGGGAAAAAAAACCAGACAACATGTGTTGTCATGGTCAAGCTATTGGATTGCATGCTCATTGTAAAGTCATTGTCAAAAGTTTTTACACAGATACCCCACAGAAACAGCAGCAGCATTGTCATAATGTGTAAACACTCCCTGCTCAGACCCCATGACGATGCTTAATCTTCATTTGCTGCATGCTCTCCAGGACTTCTCCAGCTTCTCTTTTGTCTAGCAATACAAACTAAATCTCATGCTGAATCATATTTCATTCCATAAGCCCTTTCACAGCAGGCAGTTCTTTCCATTGACTTTGGTGGAGCAAATTTTTTATCTAAGGAAGTTACTTAAAGAATAACCAATATTTGCCACTGGAATCTCAGTTTCAGGCAGTGGTAGGTTGGATTTTGCTCTCTTTTATCTTCTAGAAAGCACTGGCTATCAAGGTATCAAACGATTCTCACTAACAGCAACCATAACAACACCTTGAATAAAACCAATGGAAAAAATGCTACAAACTAATGGAAGAAGCTAGAATTAGAACAACCTAATAGAGGTATGTCTAGTTCTGGCACTTTCTTCTCCATTGCTGTTTAATCAACCACATCCAATTTCTAAAGTTCTTGTTAGCAGATCCATTCCAAGAAATTTTTTAATTTAATTTTTTTTTCACCCTTAAAAGTGCTAGAACAAAAAATACTTCAAGAGTAAAATGACCAAAATCCAGTTTTTGTGGTTCACTTCCTGAGAAGTCTCAGGGAAAATCTGACACAGAATTCAGATCAGAGTACAACAAAGCTCTTTGTGCAAATGCAGGTTCATCCAGAAACTATGCTAACAACAAGCCAGATTTGTTAGCTGCATTAACGACAATGATGCTTATTTACACAGCAGAAAGGGAAATAAAATAGGGGAGTGACAAATAATTAGAGCTCTGGAGCAGAGGCAGAGAAGCAAAGAAGAAAAATTCTATTTTACAAAGGAAGATCACCAATAGCAAACCTACCTTGTGGTTAGCTAGCTGCTGAGTGATTATTTCAAGATTGTTGCTTTCCATGAGGTCAGGGCTGGCCAATCTGCTGGACATATGTAATAACCATTTCTCCCCTTCCTGCAAATCACTATTGTAATCCTCATGTTCTTTTACTCTCACCTCTAGGGTTTCAACGTATGCCTGCAGTTCCACAATGCAAACATGCAAACCAAAATTAAATTTTCAGGTAATCACGAGTTCATAAACCCCCCAAACAAGCCAAAACCCACCAAGAACTCAAAAATATAGTACGAATTATCATCTAAATTTATATTCCTGTGAGGGAATCTCATATGAATAGACTGTAAAAGAAGATATCAAAAGACACATTTATTCTGTGAATAAATCTCTGCAATTAATTACTTTTATGGTACTGAGCAGTATTTTCACTCCAGATGAAATACTGTACTTTGAAGACAGGAAAATACTTGAGAAAATGAATACTGTCAATTTGACATTAAGTTCACTAACAGTTGTTACACACTGAGAGATTGCACTTCACCTACCAAATGCTGCTGCTTACAGCCTTTGCATGTACATACTGCCTGTGTCTGTGGTAGGCAAATTAAGAATGTACACACCAAGTTAAAAAGGATTTACTCTTTTCAGGAAGCTTCTCTAAATTTCAGCTACCAACATTTTATCCAATGCAATGGACATCACTTTTTTGGTATGGATCAGAGGCGTGTCTTTAAACTAAATTAACACTGAAAAAAATAAATCACCATCACCATCTCCTATTGGTGGATAGATTGGCAATTAAAGGTGCCTAGGTCAAACATAAGTACTAACATGGTTTGCAGAGCTTATCCTTGTTAGGAGTATAACCCATTAAAAGCTTTAGGAGTAATCATACTTTAGGATGTATTTAGAAGCATTAGACCTTTCAAAATACTACATACATATGGACTAATGAATCAATGTTAATTAATAATGCCCTTGCTGAATTAAGTTATATCCATCTTGCAGTTTATTTTCTCTGGTGCCTTTTATTTAATAACTAAACTAAACAGTGTTTGTGGAGATCAAGCAGAGACGAGAGAAAGTACAATCTAATGGCATCTGTCCCTTCAAGAAATAATGTATTTAGAATTCTATTAAATGCTTTTAAAAGAAGTAATAAGAACACAGACTAGTCACCAATACATATCCCCTTAGTGTTACAAAACACAAAGACCTCACCTGCCACAGTCAAAATTACTTTCAGCTACTGTGGTTATGTTTATTTATGTAGTTTTTCCCATATTCAAAATTTGCCTGTCACTTCTACTTCTGTCCTCCCTCTAAAGGAAAACCAAACCAAACCAAACCAAAACACCAAAAGTAATTAAATGTATCTGGTTCTTTGTACAGACATGACAGCATGAAAGAAACAGTTAATTTCTTACAGAGGGGTAAAAATATAGCAAGCTGGAAGAACACAGGTTTCTTCCTTTTTACCTTTGTTTTGCTGCAGAGCTCCTGGTAACTGCTCTGAAGGTCTTGAATGTTGTTCTTTAGAGTCACATCATTCACCAGATCACAAAGTGCCTCTCCCTTTTCAATCACTGACTTTATTGAGGGCTCATGAGACAGAACAGTCTGTTGTACAGACTACAATGCAAGCAAGAATTAAAATTTATATACCAATCACTGGAGATGTGTTTCACTAACCTCCCTTTGATCTGATGCACAGCCTTCTACCATGGTTTATATCACCCTTTCCAGATACGCAGAACTTTGTTTACGAATGCAGGATTCTCTTTCTCAGCCCTGCCCTGGAACAACAACTTTGCACACATCTGAAAACAACTGCTCCTTTTGAGAGTGGCTAAAAGCAAGGCTGACAGTTTGGAGCTGGTGAAGCAAAGGGAGTTCATCTGTATGAAGTGGCCAATGCTAGGGGCAAAATTTGTTCAGAACAGATTATGAAAATAGGTGGGAAAGCATCACCAAAGCTGTCCCCTTAATGAGATGGAGTGTGATGAGTGCCTAGCACTGTACTCTAGAGAGAACAACTGTCTAAACATGTAGGAAGCAAACACACAGCTGTAACATAGAAACTTTGAGCAGGGAAGCTGACAAGGGGTACTAGGCAGCTTTAACGAGAAAGCCTTGAAGCAATACAGGTACTGCTCAGCAATAACCAAAACATTGGTTTGTTGGCAACATTATTTTAGCCACAAATGTAAAGCCCAACACTACATGGGCTGCTGTGAGGAGAGCTAACTCCACCTCAGCTGAGTGCAGTATACATTTCATGAAACATCTCTAATCCTGGAGTATTTTACAAAAACATCATCAGAAGAAGAAATAGGGCTTGTTGGCAAATTTCCTACTCATCTTTGTGACTGGAAAATAACCCCAAACACTTCATTAAAATACTAACAAAAATTTGGGAGGTCATAGCAGCTGACTGTCTGGGATATCAGTTGAGCTGGGACATGCAGCTTTAACCAGAAAGCTGATTAAGTCAATGTAAACAGTAACAATGTCTGAAGTCAAGAAAGACCAACTGATTTCTATATTCTCTTCAACTGCAATCACCTGTGTTGATATCAATGCAATTACTCATTTGTGCACTCATAAAAGGATTTTGCTCCATTACAGGAAATGTTCAGATATGGAAGCCTTTTTAGGACATTCACATTTCAAATCCAGGGGCTCAGTCTGGTTTGTTTAGGCAGGTATCATTCATGTTTTCATTGATGCTGATTGGGACATCCAGATCAGAAACACCTCATGTACCTACCGAAGAAACCTAGATACCTGATCAGAGGATTTATTGAGAATTAAAACTAGATGAAAATCAATCTAGTGGTACTAAGAGATAACCCCTTTTTACCTTGTATTTGGACAATTGTGCCTTCTTCTCATAGAGTTCACTCTTTGGCTCCACAGGAGCATGTAAGATGGCTTGGTACTCCATGACCCACTGAGTTTGGGCCTTATACTTGTCTGAGAACTCCTTTACCAGCTGAAGACACTTCTCTGAAGTCATATGCTCTTTTCTGATAGAACCAGCCAGCTCCTCAAGCTGTTCCACATGATCTCCAATTTCTTTTCTTAGCTGGTCAACTTCATTTTCTTCCATGTATTTTATAGCTCGTTCCCCCTTCTCACGGGCTGATTTCAGTAAACTGTGGCCTATGTCCATATCACTCAATAGCACCTGTGAAGGAAATCTTGGTTAAAAGAAAATGCATGAAAATGTGCCTTTTTCAAACTTTGCTACAGACACAGAAAAAATTGCTAGGGAAAATGAGTGGACTTTTCAGTACAAAATTGCATGGAGTTAAGGTGTGTCAAGCTAGAAGGAAGCAGATAAGGCAAATACTTCTGCCCTGCACTGGGCTTGTGAATTAATTTAAAAGAATGAATTTAACAGAAAAATTCAAATTTCTCTGTGAAATGAATTTAAACAGAGAAACTGAGGGCTCCCAGGAGAAGATCTGATTTGGAGAGTAATCCAAATTCTGGAACAGATGAAAACTTTCCCGTAGTGTATTACATTTAAACTGCTTAAGCTGCAGGACATACAAGAAGTTCATCTACAACTTTTGAGATGGAACATGGGTGTTTCAATGAAGAGAAATAGGAAGCACTTGTCACAGGGCACAGAAAATAAACAGTTCACAAAAAAAGTATAATTGTGGGGGATTGGGGATATGGGAATTTATTTTAAGTTTCAACCTAACATAAAACAGATACAAGCATGCCTTATGGAAGGATAGGACTATTACTTAGGACTACTTGTAACTTCGATAGCCAAACTATGATCTAACGAGATGTGATAACAGAAAGGTTTGTGTGGTCTTATCCCACTATCTTCTCTGGGCAAGATAAGGTCAGAATTTTGAGAATTTTGAGCAGCTGTTAAGTTGTATGTTAAAATACCGCCCCCAGTTCATGAACAAAAACAAAAATTGCATTTAAGAAAGGTGTACCTCTAGTTTCTGCACTTTTTTCTCCATTACTGTTTTATCAACCACGTCAAATTTGGTGATCGCATTTTTGAAGTTCTTGTTAGTAGCTCCATACCAATTTGTGTAAGCACTAAAGGACAATTCTGACTCCTCCAAACAGCGTATTTCCTCTTCCAGAAACTTTACTTGCTCCTTCAAAAAAATATGGAAGGTAGGGGGAAGAAACAAGGACCACCCAGACATTTATTATTGCTGTTGGTTTAAGAAAATAATAAATTGCTATTTATTAATAAAATCTATTAAAGATAAAACATGCAGGCTTTGAGTTATTTCATAAATAGTGGATAATTCTTACAGAGCTCTTGTCAGGGTGTACATATGGCAATCACCAATGATAAAACTGAATTAATACTAAACACTGAAAATATACTCACATTTTGAACTTTGAACTGTGACTTGTCATTATAGTACTATGAAGCAATTACTACTTAAAGTAACCTGAAGACTGCACCTTACCAAATAAATTTTTCCCCATACTAATGTGTATCAGTGGCAGCCTGAAACCATTTCTCTAGAGGTCAATCAGCAGTCAAGCATACTTTATTCTGAATTTCTCTCCTGAAACTATCAAAAAAGATACTGACAGGGCATTCTACTTCATTATCCTGATTATGTTTCTGCAATACATTTAACCCAATGAAATCTATCTGTATATGCATATGAATATATAAATTATACATGAATATATATGTGAATGGTATGGTACTGAGTCTACAGTAATGAATAGACTCTGATGAAGTCTAATTACAAAAGCTTGTTTGTATTTGCTTCTTAACAGGTAATTTATGAAGTTACAATGAATTAGTCTTCATTACTTACCAAGACATGAAGAAGAAGAGTTTGGTAGCGAGATGTAAGCTGTGTAGCCTGACTTCCCATTCTACTTGCAGTGAGATTTTCCTCTAGTATTTGCTGAGCCAATACCCCAACTTCCTCTACATCATCTTTATAGATTGTAATGTCTTCGTGCCACTTCTATGAGAAAGAAAGGATCAAACTTATATGACTGATTCAAACTACCAGGAATTTAATTGTAACTAAGTCAGGAAATCATTGAAAAGGAAAACAGATACATGGTTGTAAACATTCATTTACAACTGGAAAATAAACCAGAATCTGATGGAAGTTGTAACATGTAACATGCTGGAAAGCTTTTCATCCCACATGGACTGCATTTCATTAAAACAGATTCAATACTTTTTGTAAATTTTTTTCCCTTCAAAAAACAATACTAGAAATGCAATCTGTACTTCCTGTAGATTTCACCTGAAGTTTTGAAGATTACTGTAATGTGTAACTTGGCATAAAATCTGCTTCTTGTGTTTATTCAGAACCATGTCTTCTCATTCCAGTGACTAAAGGAGAATTATTACATCAACACAGTGGAGACTTCATAATGCAGTTGGTTAATTAATTCTTTCGCATTCCACTGCTTATCTTTGTACTCAGATACATCTTCACGCACTACAGAGCATAGGAATTACAGATCCCACTGCCAGATTTCAACATTGTTACAGCCATACCTCCACCAGTACAATGGGAGGAACCTAGATCTAGAAGGTACAAAGCTCTCTTAGATCCATCATTTTAGTCACTAACTCAGAATAAATTGAAAAGCTTGCTCTCATTTTCACAGTGCAACCAGGAATTGACATGGAAACCTCACATACTATTTTGTTTAAGGAATGCCTTAACTATATTCTTTACCTTCATTTGTTGAAGCTGCATTTCTTTTGTTGCTCTACCAGACCTCCTCCCAGTCCTGATAGCAGCTTTCTCCTCCAGGTTGGTTAACCAGTTATTAACCTTCTGAAATTTTTTCTCCATTAACCTCAGTTTGCTCACAGTGGCATTTAATTGGCTTCTTGCTTCAGAAAGCTTGTGCTGATAAACTTGCCAATCCTGCCGTAAGGATTCCAGAGTTCTGTCTTCTATCTGGGGAATACCCCAGGGAATCACCTCCTCTCTGGCATGGACAGCAGCATTCAATAATGCTTGTCCCTCTGCACAGTGGACCTGCAGCTCCTGTAAAGGCAGAATTAGTTACACACCCTCCACCGACAGCTTTTATTCATAAAAGCTATAAAAACCCCTTTATTTCCTTTGAAGACAGCTGGGCATTCCCTTTAGTTATCTACGGTTAAATATATACTGGAGAGTCTTTCCTCTAATAACACCAGTGACAGCATGCTCATTTACAAAGCACACCAAGTATCACTATTACTGACAACTGAACTGCAGAAAATTATTGACAAAGCATGCATTAAATTCTTTTCTCTCCTGCCAAGTTTATCAGCTCTGAAACATTGGCTGCCTGAGCCAGCATGGGATGGATGGAATCCATTCACCACAGCATTAATTCAGAACTTTCCAGATGTGGCAAGCAGACTGCAAGACTGATTCTAAAACTGAATCTCTTTAAAAACTTAGAAGACAGAAATCTTCTAAAATAAACAAACCTATTTATTTTTATGTAGGCTTGAGACAACACTCCAGACTAATTTTTGATACCCTCTTCTGGACATATATCGCATTTTCTTGTTTATTAGCACTTAATCAGAAAGTACAAAGTGATTCAATCTCATTAGAAAGCATAACAAGGAAATTACCTTAATGAAATACAATTGTGTTTCATCTCAGATTTCACTTAAAACACATATCCAGATTTTCAAAATGGGTTTTGTCGCGAAACCATTATGAGCAGAAATATATGCAGAGTCCCTGATCACACTATGACCCTCTCAGTATCCTGAATAAGGTAATAAACATTTCATATCTCAAGTACAGACTTTGTGCTCCTTCAACAACCAGTATTAAAGCATTTTAAGACAGCTTAAGATAATAACTGAGGAATTACTGAAGCACTGTGTGTTCAGTTTTCACTTTCACTGAAGCGAGTCAGTGGTAGTGTTCCCACCTCACTATGGGAGCCAGCCTGCATGACTAGAACTGCCTGAAAGTAGGTGCACCTGCACTGTGAGCAACAAAAGATGGAACACCAATAAAAATGCTTTTTGTATTTCATGAAACACGCAGGGAAGAGATATATCAATATCTAACACAAATTCAATGCTTTCAAGAAAGGATTAGTATGCCTGGAGATTTCATTCAAGGCCTGACACTTCTTTCCAGAAATGAGCAGCAATATTTCTACTACATTAACTGGTACCACTTTTGAGCAACAAAGTATTCATATACAATGCAATTTCAAGTGGTTCTCAGGACAATTTTAGTCTGGTAATAAATGTTATTCTGTTGCTATATCATTATATTCTGTTACTATACCATCACAGGATTGATTTTTTTTTTCTTTTTTTCTTTTTTTGCTTTTTTTCCTTAGAGTGTCACACATCACCTACCTGTAAATCTCGGAGTGTTGCCTCCTGTTCCTGGGCATCACCATCAAGATGTGATAAACAGTCAAGCTTTTCCTGCTCCTTCTCCAGCCATACTTCAAAGGCCTTCAGATTTCTTTGGTATTCTTGATGTAAGGTAAGCAGTCCTTCAGCTTTTGTTACTGCCTCCTGCATGTGAAAATATTTACAAACATGTATACATATCTTAGTGTACTGTCAAACCAAGAGAACATAAACCTCAGCCATCATCAAGGGAAAAGGTTTGTATCTGATGCTAAACTTTCCAAGAATTCAATAGTAGTTGGATTCTGAAGATGACTTGGTTACAGGGAAAGAGGGAGCACATGTAGGTATAAAAATACTTATCCCAGAAGATAAATTTGTAAATTCTAAGATTTAGAGTTTTGATCAGGGATTACTTTTAAATAACACCTTAGTGTTTAATAACAAAATACTTTATTGATTTTTACTGCAATTTAAATTAACTTTGCTGAAGTGATTAATGCGATGTGATTAAGCATATAAGCTAAGAAATTGCACTTTTTTTCCCGCATGACATTTTTTTTGCAAATGGAATTGAAATCTTCTATTAGAAGAATCTACTATATTAGGTTTGAAGATATTTTCAGGCAGTCCCTACAGAGCACAGTAAGAAACAGACTACAAGTCTTCTGTGAATGTGGGTGAGCAAGTTACAAAAATTTCAGCACTAAAATATTACCACACCTGGAGTACAGAAGGAAAGGTGTCATATACTGGCATAATATAAGTCTTACTAAGTGCAAGAAAAATATACTATATATAATTCACATCCTTTAATAAATTATGGGAATGAGATTCAAGTTCTGATGGAGACAAGACAGGCTGCATTTGAGAGCAGCATGAAAAGACAAACACTTTAAGAAACCTATGAACTTACTGTCTGCTTTACCTCCTATTTCCAACAGGTCTATCTAGAGGGAAAAAGGAGGAAAACAGGAGTCTTATCACATCTTTTATAAGGCCTGTCCATGCCCAGAAGAAGGAAGGGGAAAAGAGAGATCAGTTTTCTTGCCTCTCAACAGAGGCTTGTAGGAAAGTCCTGGGTCTGCTCAGATATGGGCCATAAACCCTTTTTTATGGGAAATCTTGCCAGGTTTCATGCCTGGCCAGAGGATTAGTAAAATATTTGAACATTCCCTACTTTCCAGCTATTTGCTTTGAACTTCAAATTTCTTTCTAAGGGTTGATTGCACTCCTGGTACTTATATCATCACCACAGTTGGGAAGACCAGTTGTCTGGGATATTAGGTGGAAGAGAAAGAAGGAATGCTTCTTGCTACATGGGGCAAGATATACAGAACTCTTGCCTCTGTGAGCCACCATCCATTTCTTATTGTCCCCATGCTGTTGCTCAAGCTGAGCAAATATAGACAGCTTGTGTGGCTTTGTGCAGGAGAAAAAGGTAAATACTAGGGCATCCCCATGCTAACAGGAATAGTAGGTATTTACCAGCACTTCCCAGGACTTATGACTATATGCTCTCTCTGGCAAATGTGAGCAATTTATTCACTCAAGGTCAAAAGAAAGACAGAGCATGACATTTTTTGCAGTTGTGGAAGAGAGGTCCACAAAACAGTGCATCACTTACGTGTTTGAAAAACTGCATTTTGTCTGAATTTTGAATTTTGTCAATCTACATGACAAAGGCATCACTGAGACAACAAAATTCAATTTTACTACATTGCTGTCCTGAAGCAAAGCTGACTGAGCATGCATTAGTCATTGTTTAATTATCACAGAAGAAACTTGGGTTAACTGAAGATAAATCACCTAGCTTTAAATCTATCACCAGGCCTTTAATTATTTCTTTTTTACATTATATCTTACCCTAAACCCCATCCTGATCTTAATCTATGTCCTAATATTTTCCAGATATACAATATCAACATTTATCAGTAAATGTAGTACTTGTCACACTTGTGTCAGTTTACTTGTTAATAAGGTTTGTGCTCATTAATAAAATCTCTGTAGCTGTCAACCACCTGTGAATCACCCAACTGACTGGTAAAATTTATTGCAAACATACACTTATGCAAATCACAGGTTCAAAGATTTTTTTCAATGTTTCAGTCACAATGGGTAAAATTATATCTGTGCTTAAGTCAATGAACCTTTTGACATGGAGTTCCTCAGACTATTCTCCTGATTCTTCTGAAAGATCTGAAGCTCAGTACAGGAAGACAAATTTATTAATCACCCTAGTAGGTTTCTGTTATATTAAGTTACAGCTGCCCCCAAACCCTTAATCCCCATTTAACTATAAAGCAAATGATCAATGAAAATATTTTTTCCTTGTTGCCAACTAAACAAGGAATGCTATGAAGAAAAACGGTACCTTTGTTTTTTCTTTGAGGAACTTATACCTCTCCTGAAGGTCTTGCAGCTCAAGCTGAGCAATGTAATGCTCAGCCATCCCCTTTCCTTTCACTTCAATAGTCTCCAACAGGCTGTTATGACTCAACACCTCTTCATTCAGTAGCTGCAAAATAGAAAGAAAAAAACACATATAGGGCACCATCAAAACAAGACCACACATTAATCTTGCAGTTAGATAGTTTGTTTTATTGCCTCTAAGGTGTTATGGACTTGATGGTTTGTTGTAAATCAAACACACCTTTGCTTTGCTGAGGGCAGCTGTTTTTTCCCTCAGTTCAGCATGCTGCCTTTCAGAAGCATTAATACTTGCTTCTACTTTTTCCATCCATCTGGAAAACTGATTAACGTCTTCCTGGTAACTCGTCCATTTGGAGAGAGCTCCTTCCAGTTGACTGTAATTAAAAAATACATATTTTTTTGTGATAGTGGAAGTTCCCATGCCATTTGAGCAGTGTGATATAGTCATATACTGGTACTTTAAACTGTATTTATGACAGAGATACATCACAAGATAAGCAATCTGTTAAAATTCTACAGGTTTTAACTAGGAGCACTGTTTGACTAATAAAAAGAAATTAAGTTTTCCAAACCTGGAATATTAAGAAGAACTGTCATTTATGTAGCTAGCTGAAATGTTCTAGTTTTAGTAAATAAATTGCAACTGAAAGCATAAAACCCAGAATCAGAAATTTTCTGCTCCTTTACTTACATTCAAAAGTTGCTGCATACTAATGTTTAATTACCTTTGTTTCTTTAACTTTAAATATTTGCAACTATTGATGCTCCACCAAAGAAATTTCCATTTTTTCCTTTTTTATTTCTTTATTCTATCATTAGAAGAAGCACTATTGGACACTGTAATTTACAGTATGTTCTTTGGAATGCTAGCAAGTGAAAAACCAGGCAGGATCTTGACAGAGCAACCGTTAATGTCCATGAAAAAATCTTCTCATTTCTGAAAAGGTTTCAAAGCATCAAGTGCAACACAAGGTAAAATATTCAGGATTATGAACATGGAATCCAGTTTTAAGAGTAAATTGACAGTGAGTGTTAATAAAGCTTGGCTCTCTCACAGCTCCCCCCCATCCCCCGCCTTCTTCTACTTCAAATGAATATTTCACAACTTCTAGACCCAAAGTGTTTGGCATATGCAATCATGTTACATGAATTTGACTCTAGTAGTAATAAAATTACTTTCCAAAGGTTTTGACAGTGCTTTGCTCTATACCTCACTCCCTTTTTACCTCTTGCACTGGATACAAGCAGAGAGAAGAGAAGCCCAGCTGTCCTTCAGATTTTGCAATTGGCCTTCAATAACTGGTACTCCCTCCAGAGAAGTATTTTGCAGAACAGATTCTCCTCTTGTCAGAACAATTTTCATTTGGACTTCCTTTTCTTGTTTCACTGCTAGCAGGCCCTAAGAAGTGAGTGGATATATTTTACTTTTATCATTACCTGGACATGAACATTCTAACTAGCTTAAATGGAATTTGATTGTATTTAGCAGCTCGTAGTGAACTGGAAGATGGACAGTGGGGCTCACAGCTGGGCTTCACAAATGAAAGTGACTTTCAATGGGTAGGTTCAGGCTATTTAAAAAACCCTTAGACATCAATAAAATGAAAAGTATTGTCTTCTAAATAGTGCCCTTTAACATTCTTGTGTTCTGTTATCAACAGATGCTGTTTTCTTAACTGTAGTCACCATTTTAAAAGCAAACAATTATAGGATAAGATTTCCCGAATCAACTGTATCAACTCTAAGATCTAGGAATATATATTGAAATATACTAAACTAACAGAAGTAACTATCCTACTTCTTCAATTTAACCTTTACTAGCCACACAACATCTATAGAGTATTTCAAGAATTTTCATATATGCAGTTCCCCATGTCATTAAGGTCCTTATCTACTTCTTAGAGGTAAGTTCTAATAACAAGCTCTTTCAGCTACAAAAGGAGTTACTTTTGAGTAAACTGAAAATCAGCAGCTAAACAACACTTATTAGGCTAATATGCAACAACTAAGTATCCTATATTTGTATTCTTCATATACATCTAAAAAGAGCAGGTTTTGGACTCCTGTTTCCATACCTCTAGTTTTAACATCCGGTTGTCCAGAACACTCTTGTCCACAGTAGGATGAGAGTAAGAATCCAACATGTGAACTGCATCAGCAACCCAGTCCTGGAGGTCCTTGACACTCTGTAAGAACTGCTGGTGCTCTGCTACAATCCTATCCATTCTGGAAACTTTCTCCTGCAATTCATACAGCAATTAGCACCAACAGCTATTCAAAGGATCGCATATTCCACATATGAACTCATGGGCTCATTCTAGAGTCTCATCAACTACACACAGAAGTTTCCTTCATACACTGATAATTACAAGTACACTTAAGCATGGAATGAATTTTACATACACACACACAAATGAATTGTCCAAATGTAAAACACAAGTGAAAATTTCAGAAATGTAATTTTTTATTTTTTAAATCTAAAGCTTTAGAAAGTTTTCTGGTTTCACTTTTTTGGTTTCACTTTTTCTGGTTTCACTTTTTCGTAAACATCTGGTAAATCTAAGCTCCATGTCAGTGTTGCAATGGAAGCTAACTTGTGAAATTGGCCAGTGCAATGACAGATTTAAGCCTGAGAGGCTACACTACTGCAGCAATATTACTTTGCTGATATTTGAAGAAGACACGTTTTCTCAATGACTCCCACTGGTAAAATCATTCTTCTGAAAAATCACTGACACTCATACAAATCAAAAACAAATGCTGAAGTTATATTGGTAAAAGGCTTGAGGTGAACAAAAATACAGGGCAGAGTGTGTCTCTCCCACTGTGCCAGAGAGCTAAAGTCAAGTCAATGTAACAGGCTTTGGAAGTTACTGAGAGGGATCTTTCTCTAGATCCATGGCTATCCAAAATGTGTCAGGATTTCTCTAATAGGTCAGCTCATATGTATCCTGCACCTTAGATGTCTCCTGCTCATCCTCACATCTCCTACAAGTTCTGCTCACATAAGCCTATGTTAGTAACTCATGCATCTTTCACTTTCTCAGTTTGCAGACATGAGAATTTATTACGGCCATGAATACAATCATTTTCAGTAAGTCAAAGACATGCTTTACAATTGCTACTTCTACACAAAAGATAGGAATTGACAAAGTAGAAATCCCTTAAACACCAATATTTCTGAATTTGTTATTCCAAAACATATTTCCTACATCCTCAATCATTCTAGTTACTGTAGCAACTGTAAGCTATATATCAAGCCTTCCTCATTACATGAACTTTGAGAAAAGTAACAGTCTTAATATGAAGATTTTCTTATCTGTCTACATTAGAGAGATGGCAGAACTATTAAGTGGTGAAGTGTGTGAAGCACTGCTCAAGAAAAGAGAGTTACGTTAAACTCAGTTCTTGGTCCGATGGTTTAGAATTTGGCCTGTGCCTCTCCTTGAATATTCAAAAGCAGCTTAAGAGGCAGATTTTTTTTTTAGAAGACCAATCTATTACTTTTAGGTGAAAATAGTTACAATGCCAATAATCATCATTATAGGATGAGACAAAATAACAACTTGTCTGCATCCTGTATTTTCTAAAAAAAAAATCCCACCTCTGGTAATTTTTGAAAAATACCTCTTTCAGATGCCACTTATTACAAAACTAAAATGTCTTCAGTGCTTGAAAGAACCAAAATCAAGTCTGATTACTGTATAATGAGGTGGGATTTACTTGTTAATCAGTATATTTCTAAATAATAACAAAAAAAAAAAAAAATCACAGTTACATTTTGTTGACAGTCCTTACTGTCCATTCCTAAAAGTCAATGTGAAAAATAGAATAGCTCAGACATATCACAGAGCAGGCAAGCAAGACAACTGCAGTGTTTCACATTTCAGCCTTTATTTTTCCCCACATACATCAAAGGAGTTGCTTAAGAGCACATACATTGGATGCATTACCTTTGTCAGATTGCTTAGAGTAAGATACTGAGAAGACAACTGAGACACTCTGCGCATAAAGCTTTTGCTGACAGCTTGTTCTTCCCACAGCTGCTGAGCTTTCTCTTTTAGCCTGTTGAGCTGATGCTCGTGGCAGCTTATTTCCTCAAGGACAGACTGTAAAGCACAAGCACAGTAATAATAAGAGTGGGTGCAAGAAAGCAGGAAATAGAGAAGCATGAAGGTGCCATGAAAAATAGAAGTGACATATGGCAGGCTTGCTGAGAAAGGCACACCATACGGTTACAGCAGTGGAGCAGCATGTCATAAGAAATGTGGAGATGCAAAACTTGATGGAACAGGATCATCAACAGCAAACCTTGGAAACAGTTCCCATCTTATTTAGAGGTCAGGATGCTAGAGTGATTAAGCTTTTGTAAGTAACCGATGTGGCCAGTAGGATGGGACAGGAAGGTCTGGCTGTGTTAAGAACCCTTATAAGTCACCTGCAGCTTTTGCTGTTCTCTTCTCTTGGAAGGAAGATCATAGAGCCGACTGCTACTTCCTTGTACTATCTTCTCAGTTGTGGTCAGCCACTCCTGCAGAGGCTCAGCAGTTGCTTCAAAGTCCTTCATCTGGATCGTTAAGTTCTAGGAAGACATGCAAATTTCTATTAATAGTCCCAGTGCACTAGACATAACTAATTCACAAGACACAGTTCAAGCACACAAAAAGGATATGTAATTGTAGGCAAGTTATACACAACTCTTCAAATAAATTACATCAGCTCTGCATGTTCCTATCCCACAGACACTGAAATAAAACTTTGATAGGGCACACTTTTAAAAAGCAAAATAAAAGCAACAATACTGCTTCAATACAGCTGAGGGAAGGCTGAACCAAATTTCTTTTGATTGTAAAGATTTACAGATGTTATGAGATTTGACTTAGTCTAATCCTAACTGGTGCAACTAAGGCAGTGTGAATAAAAGCTAATTTGAGATGTGAGTTATCTAATATCTGACTTCAGCCATTGACATTAACCCCTCCTTAAATGGGCTGCCACTGTTTCTAGGTAATGTCTAAACCCATTCCTGGGGAACACTTCTGGTTATATTCTTTTTTAGAGTAAAATTTTGGTCATAAGTTCATTAAAGGCATACAAATGCATTCCTTCAAGGCCTGCATACATTTTTTGTAGGTTTATTCTGCATTATTTAATAAAAAAACATCTCAAATAATTCATGTGGAATATAAACCTGAACAGCATAGCTCCTGCACCCTAGTTAATTTAATGTATTTTTTCGCCCAGATTATATAGTTTTCTTTTCAGCTACACCCATATCATTTAAACATCCAAATGAAAAACTAAGCCTATGAGACTGAAAAATGCTTGAATCAAAAGACTAACCTCTGATAACATCCTGAGAACATCCTCTTTCTATGGCAACCTTGAGGTGAAAAAAGGTAAGTCCTTGCTACCTGAGAATTTTTTTAAATGCTTCCCTACATAATGCATTAAGTGTATTTAAACTTTTTCTCATCTGTCTAGGAAGCACTGGTTTGAAACAAGAATGCCTAGGAAATTTAATTCACCTATGCTATGCAGGGAATTTCAGATGAGACCTTTTGACCTTAAAACCTATGACCCTAAAAAGTTTATGATTTTAAGATATTCACCACCTTCTGGTTGAATTGTGAGTTCTGAACAGAGGAAGGCACTGGAATTTACTTAAAAAGTTGCTCAATTTAAATAACTACATTTCACCTATTTGTAGTAAGAGAGACAAAATTTACACACTCTACTGCAACTATTCAATAAGCTGTGTCAGAAAATGTACTAAAAGTTTCTCTACAAGAAAATGTGCTTTAGTAACCCAGTACATTTGATGAAACTACTGAATTTTAGCAACTTCTATCTTTGATTCTAAACAACACCCTTCTGCATGAAACACCCCACTTAAAGTGAAATCAGGTCATAAAGATAGCAGAAGTAAACAAAAGTAAAATGCATGCAGAAGAATAAGACTTCCGAAAACATCTATTTCCTAGTTCAGTCACATACTAAACACTCACAGCAATATACAAAATCTAAACTGTGCTATTTGAAACAGAGGAAAAGAAGAAATTTAGATCCAGTCTTTCCTCACTGCAACTGCTTCAATACCTCCAATGCAGATTTCTTCTGGTGGAGCGTGGTGATAAAATTTTTCCAATCTTCTTTAGCAGCAGCAGATTTGTCCTGGATAACTTTAGCCTTTTCCTTTGGTAAAACAGAGCACAGCAGCTCTCCTTTGGATGCCACCAGGTTTAATTTTTGTTGCCCATTCTCACTTTCGGACAGGAATTCCTAAAAATAATAAGGAAAATCTAATTGGTGAACTTTGGGTATCAATAAGGTCAAGCTGCTAGAAAATTTACCAATGATGGGAGTTTACTGTTTCTGCTTGTTAACATGTTAATGTATCTTTCAGTAAATTAATTTCAATACTGTTTGTATTGATGGGATTTAGAGGTAACAGCCACTTGATCTAGAAATGAAAGTGTCAGAATAATGTACATCTTAGGACTCTAGGATTACCTGCATTTTCTGTATTTCATGACACAACTGCTAGTGATTTAGGTGGGTATTATATTCCCTTAAAAATCCCTAGTAGAGAAAGTGTTGGAAGTTTCATTTCAGGGAACCATTATCCTGACAGAGATGACACAGGGGCCCCCTCAGAGGCACACACTGGACCAAACCCCTGCCGATGGGCAAGCTCCAGCTATGCTGGACTTGCCATGAGCATGTGTGGGCTGATGCTCAGAACTTGGCCAATGTCCAATCTGTGATTTATGCCTCTGTATCCTTAATTTACTTTCCCTGTTTAGAAGTATTTTTCTTCACAGAAATCTTTCACAGTGCTGGGGTGCAAGAAGTGTGTGGGAAAACACAGTTACAAGAATTATACAGAAATGTAAGGAAACATATTTTTAAATTCCAATTTATTTCGATAATTTTTTTGTAAGTTATAATTATTTAAAAACTTTCTGAGCATTTAAGACTCAAAGAAATTTAGTAGTCTTATATAGAAATATTTTAAACTGTTACTATCGTGATAATGTAATACACATAATCATTAGGTTACACTCATGCTCAGGAGTAGCAGGCTTGATACCAAAATTATTAGGTCAGGTTCTGTTACACTAGAGGTTTTGGTGGAGAATGCAAAGGCTCTGTTAACTTTGAGATACATGGACTATAAATTCTGGCTATATTAAAATGAAAGATATTGGTGACTTAATGATGTAAAATGTGCTAACAGACAGAACATTAACTTCCAAGAAAAACAAAATTTTAGGTTTATACAGGTTACCAACACATCTTTAGAAGTCTTAAAGCAGTCCAAAAAAAGTTTGTTTCACCCAAGGCAGCTTTCACAGAGAAGAAAAAGGTATGGTTTTACATTATGAGGGGGCTGTAGTGATTAAAAAACCAAAAAATCCACTGTTGAAAAAACCCCAGACTTGTTAAAACATGTAAAAAAAATTACCAGAACTTTTCCCCCTTCTGAAGATATTCTCAACATAGTGCAGTCAAACATTTGATATATCAAGACAGTATTATTTGGGCTTTTAGGTAAACCATTTAAGCAAGGGAAAGTCAATATACCAAAACAAGTAAAAAGTGATTTGGCTTTTGGTGTTTTCTGAGAAACAGATACTAATTTCTTCTGTTATACTATCTATCTAAAGCTGTAACAGCTTCATTAAATAATTCTCATTTTGTTATTTTCAGCTAAAATTATATTTATGTTCTGTCAATAAAAGTATTTCTTTCTACTGATTTATTAAAATATACTTTCAACTGTCATTCCTTTCCACAGAACTTTTTGGGCTTACTTTAGTTTTATGTGAAAAACAGCCTTCTAAATGCCTGCTCACACTGCATATGTGAAAAACAGCCTTCTAAATGCCTGCTCACACTGCATATAATTTCATTCTGCTCTTGTACCATAAGGGCTCCACTTTCATACATGAGGAAAAATATTGATATAATTGTGAAATAAATCCAGTTATTAATACTCATTCTGATTTTACAGTACTCTCCTACCTAAAACATTTTCTTTCCCTTTCTAAAAAAGAATCAGATAAGGAAAACTATTGAGACATAACTACTGCAGCCCAAGCATGAAACTAAACAAAACAGAAAAAGAAAGTGTTTATTTCTTTGCAATGAGTCACCCTTAATGTTAACAATAACAACATTAACAAAAGCAGTAATTAATCAAAGAAATAAATATGAGCTGTATATGAAATTGCTTTGGCTTCCCTTAGACTAGGATTTCACTGCCATAAAGTTACCTGTATTTTCTGCAGACTTGCTGAAGCATCACTGATGTTTTGAGGCACGTCAAAGCATTTGGCAGTGGTGACTCTTGCGTTGACCAGCCACTGCTGAAAATCCCTGAAAGCCGTCCGAAACCTTTGCTGCAAGATCTG